ACCACCACCACCACCACCACCACCACCACCACCACCATCTCCACCACCACCTCCATCACCACCATCTCCCACCACCACCTCCATCTCCACCACCACCACCTCCACCACCACCACCACCATCACCACCACCACCTCCCATCCCACCACCACCACCTCCACCACCACCTCCATCTCCACCCACCACCTCCATCACCCACCTCCATCTCACCTCACCATCACCACCACCACCTCCATCACCACCACCACCTCCATCACCACCATCTCCTCCACCACCACCATCTCCACCACCACCTCCATCTCCACCACCTCCACCACCATCTCCTCCACCACCACCTCCACATGGTTTACCATCATGAGTTAGGTAGCTACCAGTAACACAAGGTGATGTTCCTTCATGGTTGCAGGTAAGTATCTTCTGATCCCATACAGTTCCTGGTGCACAGGGCATCTCTTGTGGTCCATAAGGGGCACACTGGATGAACTTGCGACAGTCACTAGGATGAGGGAGGTAAGTGCCCAGAGAACAGTCAATGACGCAGCCGTCAATGTCACCACCACCACCTCCTCCTCCTCCTCCTCCTCCTCCACCATCTCCCACCACCACCACCACCACCACCTCCATCTCACCATCACCCACCACACCACCTCCATCACCACCATCTCCTCCACCACCACCTCCACATGGTTTCATCTTAAGGTTAGATAGCTACAGTAACACAAGGTGATGTTCCTTCATGAGTTGCAGGTGAGTATCTTCTGATCCTTACAGTTCCTGGTGCACAGGGGCATCTCTTGTGGTCCATAAAGGGCACACTGGATAGACTTGCGACAGTCACTAGGATGAGGAGAGTAAGTGCCCAGAGAACAGTCAATGGCGCGGCCGTCCAATGTCACCACCACCTCCTCCACCATCATCACCACCACCACCACCATCTCCTACCACCACCACCACCACCTCCTCCACCACCACCACCACCACCACCTCCCACCCACCTCACACCACCACCTCCCATCCCACCACCACCACCTCCATCTCACCACCACCTCCTCCATCTCCACCACCTCCCACCATCACCACCACCACCTCCATCACCACCATCTCCTCCTGTCTCCTCCACCACCACCTCCATCTCCACCCACCTCCACCACCACCACCACCTCCACATGGTTTTACCATCGTGAGTTAGGTAGCTACCAATGGCACAAAGGTGATGTTCCTTCATAGTTGCAGAGTAAGTATCTTCTGATCCCCATACAGTTCTGGTGCAGGCATCTCTTGTGGTCCCATAAGGGGCACACTGGATGAACTTGCGACAGTCACTAGGATAGGGAGGTAGAGATGCCCAGAAGGAACAGTCAATGGCGCAGCCGTCAATGTCACCACCACCACCACCTCCTCCCTCCTCCTCTCCCTCCTCCTCCACCACCACCACCTGTCTCCACCACCACCTCACACATCCCCACCACCACCTCCATCTCCACCACCACCTCCACACCTCCACCACTACCACCATCACCACCACCCCTCCATCTCCACCACCACCTCCCATCTCCACCACCACCACCATCTCCTCCACCACCACCACCTCCACCACCACCTCCATCTCCACCACCACCTCCATCACCACCACCACCTCCATCTCCACCACCTCCACCATCACCACCACCACCTCCACATGGTTTACCATCATGAGTTAGGTAGCTACCAGTAACACAAGGTGATGTTCCTTCATGGATGCAGGTAAGTATCTTCTGATTCCATACAGTTCCTGGTGCACAGGGCATCTCTTGTGGTCCATAAGGGGCACACTGGATGAACTTGCGACAGTCACTAGGATGAGGGAGGTAAGTGCCCAGAGAACAGTCAATGACGCAGCCGTCAATGTCACCACCACCACCTCCTCCCCCACTATCAGTCCCTCCTGATTCATTACTGCTGCTTCCAGACTCTGAACTTTCTTTGCTGTTACATTTATTACAGTCAGATTCACTACTGCTAGATTCCCTACTGTCGGATTCCATACTGCTAGATTCCCTACTGTCAGATTCTCTACTGCTAGATTCACTACTGCTAGACTCATTAGTTTCCGAGTCACTACTGCCAGATTCCTTCCTGTGGTGATGTGACTCTTCACTGTGTTTCTTCCTCTTCTCTACAGTCCTGCTCTCTTTACAGTTTCCACAGGACTTGTGACAGTTTTTGAGAACAAAGGTTTGCCAATCACAGTTGTCTTCGTGACACATACAACCGCCTTCCTTGACAAAGGTGCCACAGTCCCTGCGACGGTCAATGCAGCTGGTCTCTGTGAAGAAGCCTTCGTCCCAGGCCCCTGTGCTGCAATCGACGTTAATGGCCAAGTCGCATTGTGATGTGTCTTGATTGAACAAGAGGCCACTGCTGCAGTAGTGTTTGACAGCTTTACCTTGTTCACCTGTAAGACAGTGGCTAAGTAATTGCCATAATGATGATTGAAATTCTAACTGGACCTTTAAAATTACCTAATTTTATGAACTAGAAGAACAACAGGGTGTCACATAGCATGCTTATAATGCCCTTCTTGGCAAAAGACTTCATGATCAAATTGCTGAGACTGGGCAAATTATATAAAAGTTAAGTTTTCTAATTCTCTCCCTCAATAGTTACCACAGATCATCAGAATGAATAATCAACTGATGTGTCCAGAAGACAATTAAAAAGAGTTGAGGATTTATAACAAGTCTGGCATGTCCGAATTCATCGTAAATGATGATTTTTAAATTGATATATGTTAGCATTTTAGAAGCAGTTCATGCTGTAGTTGTGTTGAATTTCCTATTTTCATTGCAGAATCATAAAGTGAAAACGAATACATTATGTTCCTCCTTAGTAAAGTCTTTTAATATTATTACTATGCACCAGTCTTTATTGTTCTTGGTATTATCTGTCAAATAATAAAAAATAATGCAACATAGTTATTTTTTGGATGTGGTTGAAAAGGGAATTTAGAAAATGTCCATTTACTAGGGCCGAGGTCATAGAATGTACAGTCCTATGATGCAAGGTCACATATACCTTAGTCTATTCAATGTGTCTTTGTGTCCTACTGATTAGAACACAAAAATTTAATTTTTTTTTCTGCAATAAAAGCAACAAACAAAGATTTTGATGAATTGCTCCTGATATTGGAGTTGATTATCTTGTAGGAAAAAGTGAATATATGGAAAATTATTTTATTGGTACAAGCATTTTGAAACATGTCTGGGTGTAATATATCCACTTGTCGGTTTAGGAACAGATTTAATGGATATAAATGGGTAAATTCAACCAAATGGTTGGGAGAGTGAGGAAAATATAGGTGTTTACTTACACTGCCAGAAGGTGGAACACTTGTCCAGTGCGGGGTAGCGACAGTCGTTGCAGGAACATGAGGGCGCCTGAATGCACTTGGCACTCTCCTGGCGATCGCACTGCTCAACACGGGCATTGTAAACCAGTCCTCCAGGACACTGTGAGAGGTGTTCCACCCCATCCTGCACCATAAACATACTGGTTTATTGATACTGTACTTGCTAACTAATATAGCCATTAACTAACAATGAATTAGGATACCAATAAGATAACATTACGAGGTTATACAAGCCGTTTAACTGTTGTGAGGATGAGGACCTTTAAATTATTATAATTATTATTTATTATTATATTTTCGCCCCCCAGGCCCTGATGTGGGTCATTACCTGTGCCCGGGTGGGCTACTCCCCGTGTAAAAAAAAAAAAAAAATATAGATAAGGAATTAATGAATTTATCAATAAACATACTAATAAACTAATTGAAAAGAATAGTAAAAAAAAAATAGATCTTAAGTGTGATGCCAGCAGGAACAGAAGCAGCAGCAGCCACCCACCAAACTACCCAGATCCCTGCTGGACCTGCTCCCGTGGGCAACAGCGGCTGCAAGGGAGCTTGTGTTCGGCCTGCACCAGAGCTGGGACGAAGCCACTTTTTACTTTACAGTACTTTACTTTTACCTTTATCCTCTTCGCCACTGATCGGCTCAGCAGCCGCTTGGGCGGTCGGTCATATCTCTGTTATACAGTGGCAAGTACTGGGCATGCACTGGCTCCTGAATGTATCTGTACCTGCTCCAGTGTTGGTCAAGTCTGGTCTTGAAAGCCCTCACACTGGGTGACTTAGAAAATTGTAGTGATATACAGTACAGGTATACTGTAGTTGTAATATGACCTTATGCCATCAAAAATGGATAACAATAGGTTTTTTAACAGTAAAAATATTTGATGAATACATTAGCGGAGAACATCACACGGTGCACAGTAATGTCTCCTGTATGGCGACCTGTGGCGTAATGGTCAGCATGTTCGCCTCGCAAGCGAGTGAACCCGGGTTCAATCCCCGGGCAGGGTGAAACTATGGGCAAGTTTTTTACTCCATTTGCCTCTGTATACCCAGCAGCAATTGGGGACCTGGATGTTAATCGATTTGCGGATTGTGTTCCAGGGTAATGGTTAGCCAGTGCAGTTGGTGAGTTGTCCGGTCTTCTCGGACTGTTCCTTGACACTGGGTCATGCAACTCTTTAACTTAGGGTGTGGTTGTTGTGTTGGCGACAGCTTCTACGCCTTAAGCAAATTCACACCTGGGTGGCCCTAGGGCTGGCCATCCTCGGTTTCAAGGGACACTCATTAATATTATTTTTATTATTAAAATGTCTCCTGTAGCTGAAATAAGCAGTGTGTGGGTAGTTCAGCTGAGTGTAATACTGTACAGTATTGTGGTAATTAACTGTTCCTATAGCCAAATAGCTCTCTAGCCTGGAAATTTTTCGGTTCACTATGCAAAAATAAAAATATAGTTTCCCTGGAAACTGGAAGAAGTCTGATATTTGGCTGCTCGTTGCATTATCTGGAGGTGACCCAGAGAGAATGCAGGCTGAGCAAGGTTATTTATGATGTGGAACAATGAGACAGTCACATTGCCCATCAAAAGCCGATGGGTAAAGAACAAGGCAGAAATACCTCCACAGACGCGACGTAACATGATGCCTGAACATCTGGGACAAAGCCAAACAGTAATCCCTACAAAACCTAACAGATAGCCAGTTATCCTAAAATCACATCATCTCGCTCTAAGAAAGCGCTCGGGTGACCAGATACTCGAGATGGATGTTGGGTCGACGTAATCAGAACATACTCACACTTTTGACTGGATAAATTTGATGGTGTGAATAAGGAGATATGGTGAATAAGTAGTTGTGGTGAATAAATAGTGGTGAATAAATAGTTGTGAATACATAGTTGTGGTGAATAAATAGGTGTGGTGAATAAATAGCTGTGGTGAATAAGTAGTTGTGGTGAATAAGTACGTGTGGTGAATAAGTACGTGTGGTGAATAAGTACGTGTGGTGAATAAGTACGTGTGGTGAATAAATACGTGTGGTGAATAAGTACGTGTGGTGAATAAGTACGTGTGGTGAATAAGTACGTGTGGTGAATAAGTACGAGTGGTGAATAAGTACGTGTGGTGAATAAGTACGTGTGGTGAATAAGTACGTGTGGTGAATAAGTACGTGTGATGAATAAATAGGTGTGGTGAATAAATAGGTGTGGTGAATAAATAGGTGTGGTGAATAAGTACGTGTGGTGAATAAGTACGTGTGGTGAATAAGTACGTGTGGTGAATAAATAGGTGTGGTGAATAAATAGATATGGTGAATAAGTGAAAGTGGGTTCCATAGACCTGATGGCCTGTTAGGGGTTAATGCGGAGTCATTGTTATAGTTTAAGCATTTTTCTGAACACAAAAGAGGAAATGTGACCTGCACTGCACTCTACCACCTTTACTTCCCTAACTGTAAAGTAAGGTATCCATTCACAGCTGCGTGTATAGGGGTGCCCCGGGAACAAACGAGTTACTCTTCGGACTGGAGGCGAACACTGTATCCATTGTGCCACTTTACACTTGATGAAAGAGTAGCTTTAATAAATAAGTGAGAACAGTTGTCTAGGTTCGAGTGCCGTAAAGCAGCAGCTTCACATTGTACTGGGTGAACAAGTGGGTTGTACTGTATGATTAGTAATAAAAAGTGTTTCTCATGACTCATGAGGTTGCAACACCACCAATTGTGTGTTTCTTTGCCAGGGTAGTAAAGATAAACACTCTGCCCTCCTTTGTCCATTAGCTGATATCCTCATTAAAAAAAATAGGGTATTATTTTACTTTTGGACAACACGGGAATCTTAGGAATTTTATATTTGCAATCAATGGTTTAGACAAGACACTTTTACACTTTTCTTCTATGATGTTTCTTCCGCAAATGACTTTTATATGCTGGGGGTCCATGGAGACCGGAGCCCTCCAGTTTGGAGGTTTGGTTAGATAATTTTTATGTGATTTGCAAGGGAAACGGCACAGAAGAAATGTGTCTTGGAATTGTCTAAACTATTGATTGCAAAGATAAAATTCCTAAGATTCCCGTGGTGTCCGAAAGCAAAACTTTGACCAAAATAGATACTGTACATAAAAGTGAGGACTGGGATGTATCGGACTTTTAATATACGGGGGGCTCCCGAGTTGCGAACGGGTTTCATTCCTGAGGATGTTCATAAGTCGGAACAGATGCTATATGCATACTGTACTTAGAAAACAATGTTTAAAATCCCACTATATCATAGCCTAAGTGTTTATATACATCTAAAATCACTTAATTTAAGACAACAGAAGAAATAGAATGACAAAATACAGTAAATGAAAGTAAAAAATAAGTCATCAAGTAAATAAAATACTGCAAATTTACAGTTTAACCCCGTTCGTAAGTCAGGGACCTCCTGTATTCAGTTGTTCGTCTTCTTTGATACTTGATAAACCAAAGGTGAATGAACAATGGTCATGGTGATAAGAGGTTGATGAAGCGGTTTATCAAGCTGGGGAATAATCCAGCGAGATGTGGAGCTCTGACAGGAGCTGATAACATGTAAACTCCGGCCACAGGTGATGCTATCAATAAAGCAATAAATCTAGCGTGAAAAAATTTAAGAGTTACAAAATAAGAACATCACTGAGATAACTTATGGTGGAGTAAGACCAGTAGAGCACCATTACTCTTTGTCTGCGAAGTAGAATACAGTAACTATTTTTGAAGCTGTCACACAAACAGATCCTGACATAAACGTCAGGGTGACAACATAATATATTCTTCCAGCAGAGCTAATATATCACACTCCATTAATTAAGTGGCAATATTTACATATTACACGAATTCCATTTCAAAATAATTTACTGGCCTAGAAAAAGTTAAATAGAAGTTTGAAAAGCTTGGCAAAGTACTGTAGTTGGTGGTACAGCTATAAAGCGCATTTGTGTCATGGGTTCAGTCCCTGATCTGGGACAGATGTGACAAAGTTGTTATTGTGTGTGACACGACCAAACAACGCAAGTTTTCTCCAGTTATTCCTGTACTAACAATGGACAATACATTTCATGACAAAGTAACAAAGAAAAGACCAACTGCCTGAGCAGCTAGTAAGCTGATAAGTGGTGTTATGATAAATAGTAAAATATTACTACAACTGTCAGGTTGTCGGTGAGAGTACAACCTCCTCTCTGATGAGTAACGCTTGGTAGAGGCAAGGATTCTACTACTATAGAAGGATAGCCCACTTAATGTTAAATTTTTTTATCATCCACGACGGTGGCGATGCCAAGCGGCTGGGGAGTAGCAAACACATTATAATACCACTGCGCCTTACATGATATTGTGCGATAACATCAGATTATTAAATAAAAACAATTTATATATACAGTACAGTAGTTCAACTTTACATATCTAGGGAGTTTCTCAAAGCAGCACATTGATAGCTACACAGTACTGGGGGCTCCATTTCAGCAACTATAAAGAAATGCACAAAACAAAATACAGTACTGTACAGTACAGTAAAATTGCATTTCACCGAATTTTTTGTCTTCCTCCTTTTATTCCTTGTCTGGTAATTATTTAGTTTACTCTCCAGCCGCTTGGTGACGCCACTTTGGGCGGTGAACGCATTCGCCCATTGAAGTGGGCTATCCTACAATATTAGAACCATTGGTCGAGGCTAGCTTTCATGACGGCATCCTGGGATCTTGACATCACATAAAGAATTTTTGTCTGCTTTGATAATACTGGTGATAATGCGGACACATTTATAAGGAGATACACGGAGTTTATCTTATCTTGAAATGTAACTTTTATCGATTTTTAATTAAAATGTTTCTCACCTTTGTTCTGGACCTTTGTTTTCCAAGACCAAAGCCCTTAGAAGTCGACACCAAGACCAATGTCTATTTTAGCATTTATTTATATCCCTGGTACATAAGCCAAGTTTTTAGTGTACATATTTTTTTTAGAACAAATATTTTGTGTTGTCTCAAGATTAGTCACCCCGGCTCACACTACCTACCTGGTGTAAATTAATATAACCCTTTTCTTTTCTATTTTAAATGTCTTTCTATTCTTATTCTTTCGCCCCCTCGGCCCCGTTGTGGGTCATTCGACCTGTGCCCGAGTGGGATAATTCCCTTAAAAAAAAAAAGAAAATATGGGGGGTGGGACGAAGCTGTGTAGAGGGGGTAGGTAACCTTAACCACCTGCCGCTTTCCATCCATGGGAGAGAAGTTTTAGAGGGAAGTGGTAGCTTGAAATTTAAACTATACAGATATAAGCAAGTCTTGATGTATGATTAGCGACAGCGGTAAAATTATGTTATATCACTGACCACTTAAATGTTCTCTACACAGCACTGGGCACCACATTCAGGGTCATCCTGAGTTCTGATCTATGAAGGGTTACTTGTATCACACAAATGGGGCAGATAAACAAGCTGCATTGGCACTAATCCAATTAACGGAGAACAAACTGGGTAGATGGTTCAGTTTAAGGTTAGCCTGCTAAATGGGGAAACGTTCTGCTGCCATTGCTTAGATGAACAAAGGAGACATTTTACAGTATAGGGCTGAACCTAAACAGCCCCACTCTACAAAAAACCTCTTGGGTCTTACTTATGGTGAAACCTTGGTTGACATGCATCACTTATTAAGTCTTAAGTGTTAGCGTTACTGTACTTTTTAGAGCAATAGTGCACCTAGAAACTTATTTGCCAAGTAGCTCATGTGGATGTGTGCCATTGTTACCATGTATATATAAAATGTTCTAATTAGACAAACAATAAAGAGTTTAACAAGAATAAAGCAACAAATATACGTATTTTATCTGCACGTGCACGTGTGTGTGTGTGTGTGTGTGTGTGTGTGTGTGAGAGAGAGAGAGAGCAGGTTGCCAAAGAAGCACGTTCTTGAGACATTAGGGCGACTTACAGCATCACAATGATAGTAGGTGTCGCAGCGGTATGGATGAGGTTTAGTACATGTCCCTCCACAGTCGCATGTCACCAACCCATCTGTCGGACCATCCGCCACGAACGGCACCTGTAACTCACACGACCGCTGGAACGGGACACAGTGTGCGTCCTTGGGCAGGTCACAGGAGCCCCGAGCTGCATTATAATGTAGATTCGAGGGACATCTCTGGGAAAATAATGACAGAGTTTTGATCAGCAGAGGACAAAAGAAGATATCTTTTAGTTACTGACATTATGCCGTTTATTACATCACTCAACTTTATTACTACTGTACTTGTTTGATATTTATCAAAATTCAAAGAGAGGAATTCATTTTGGCATTAAAAGTTTTCCTAATCACATAAATACAACAATAATTCGATAACTTGTTACTAGTAAATAGACTAAGGACTACCAAATAGTTCTGTGCTCTTGGTCTGTTATGTTCTTAATACAATTTTACTTTCCTATGAAACATCACATTTGTCTCATTCTCTCATCGTTCATTCTGTGTTTCTCTTCCTATCATTTTCCCTGGGCTCTCCTCCACTTTGACATGGGGTAGCCACTACCCACCTTGACAAAGGGCACACCGTCGATACAATGAACGTATTGGGTACAGTAGGTCGGGTGGGCGTACAGGGCGTCAGGCACCCCGCATGTCAGACTGTGGCAAACACGGCTGGAGAGTACCTTCAGCGGTGTTCCTGTGAAGGCAACCACATAACCACAAATTAGAACACAAGCTTTTGTATAATGCTAGGAAGTTTAGAAAAATAATGCAGAATTACCTTAGTCGCTAAACTAATAATAGTATTTATTCTAATTTGTGCCATCACGGCTCTCCTTTGCAGGTTGTTCCAGAGTTCACAATTCTCACTACGAAAAACTTTGCCCTGACAGTTGTGGCTTCTTCAACTTTGAATTATGACCCCTTATGGGGTGGGCGTCTGCCAACTCCAAGTATGAACACATGCCCGAGTAGTGCCCTCTAAGATGTTTATAAATTTCAATTAGGTCACCCCTTGCCTGTCTAGAAGATAGGCTGTTGCAGGCACTCTAATCTCTCTGGATAACTGAGGTGCTGTAGTGCATCACCAATCTGGTGGCCCTCCATTGAACATTTTCAATCAAACTCTCAGTCTCTAGCATATTTCGGGGACCAGGCGGGGAAGCAATCACTTTTGAAAAGCATTACGAGGGATGGGCCGTCTAGATATCTGAACGACTTTCTGATTCTCACAATGGCCTGAGAACTTCAGTTCATTGTCAACATACACACCCGGGTCCTTTTCGCATTCGGTCTCTATTAATGTTGTTTCTTTATCCCGTTGGGGCATGTGATACGCCTCCTTACTGTTGGTCCGACCTAGGTGCATCCTCTTACTCTTTATGATATTGAATCTCAACAACCATTTCTTCAACCACTCTTGAAGCCGAGTGAGATCTGGCTTCCATTTCTTGTTAAAGCGGTAAATTAAAAGAAATAGAATATCTAAGATAAACATACTATCTTGCAAAGAATTGTTTTTTGTATATTTCATTAGTAATTTTTTTTCAAATTTCTTCATCGGAGATCAAACAGGACAACTTACTAGCCAGCACCCCCTGAGGAAGGGAGGCCACTCCTAATAATAAGAGTGGCAGAAGGTGGAGGACTCGGGTCGAGCCCTCCATGGTGTGTTTTCCTGCCGGTGTCTTTCCCCAAGATATTTCAGCTTGCAGTTTCTCTTTTTTTCACCAGATGGAAAAAATAACCTCCAGATTCTGTTTCTTCTGGGACTCTAAGAACCCAAGAAACAGACGTGGAAGTGTAGTTCACCGTGCCGTGGAATCCTTCGAATGTCGCACCCATTAAGATGCCCCGCCTGATATACTGTACCGTCCATGCCCTGCCCTTCCCCTATCAGCCCCTCCCCTTCCCCCTTGTCTTATCAGGTGACAAGATGTGACAAGGACCACAATGGTTGTCATATCACAAAACTCAAGGGTTTTACTGATTATGTTTAAAATTGTCTTACAAAAGGGAAGGTGCAAACAGTATCCTGTATAAGGGTAAATACAATAATGGTAGCCAAGTGTGGGGAGACAATTGTTAAAAGCTTAAGTGATGCCTGAGCTACAAAGGTCAAAAGGTGTCAGACACCCAGAACTGTGATAATGAAGAATGCCAGTTATCTCAACCGGATACACCAGCTTACAGAATTCAATTACACCAAGAGTTAATGTGACACAAACCTCATAAAAAGATTATTTAGGGTTATATCCTCCATATGTTGACATTTAACAAATTTTGTGACTATTTGAATTATGTAATTTATATGGGTGGTTCTTCCTGTGAATGTTCTTTATAGTCTCACTAAAAGGAATAATGGTTGAGTAAGCTTTAAAAAGCAATTGACAGTTTTACCAAGCATGGATAACTTTGTTTTTATTGATAAACTTAATGAAAATTAATTCATATATCATAAAAATATTTAATATTTAATTGAAGGCATAGTTTATCATCATTACCATCATCAAAGTCTTACAGCCATTTTCCATGTTTGCGTGGGTTAGCTGCAGCTACCTGCAGCCTCCCTTGTCAGGTTCTTAACTCGAACATCATTTCTTACAAACTCTTTCCATGTCATTCTTGGCCTGCCCCTCCCCTCCACATTTAGGCTGATGCATCTCTTAACCCAGTTGGTCTCATCCATTCTCTTCACATGCCCAAACCATCTCGGCCTAACTTACGCAAAACTTCGTCAATCTTTTCAACAGTTTCTTGTCTTTCAGTGTGACCTTACACATCCATCTTATCATTCTCATTTCAACTCATTCAAGCCTGTGTATATCATCCCTTTAACTGTCCATGTTCCACTACCATACAGCATAATACTTCTCAAGCCAGTTACATGCATCTTTTCTTTCTCACGGAGGGAAGGTTCTCTTTCCATCAACTCCCTAAACTTCCTCCAGCCATTTATGACTCTTGTAACTGAGAAGGCTTCATCAACCCCAACTGGCACTGATCACATCACCCAGGTGATGTATCTCATCAACACACTCCTTTGGTTTATCCCAAGTGTTGAATTTATCCAGCCTTGCTAAGGCCATATGATTACTTGCACATACAGGACACTTCAAGTCAGTAACATCCTGCAACCTACCATCTAACCTGTGCACATTATTGTGTTGTTGCCAAAAGCTTTTTGACAGACAGCACACAGCCATTTCCCTCTTTCCACCATGGGTCACTCACCCAGACCATTAATCAGGACTTTGGTTTGTTTGGTCACATTCACACCCTTATGTCTATTCCTTCCTGCTATTTCTGAAATTTATCCACTGCCTCTTCAATACTATAAACATACAACTCTCAGGGCAGATCAGTCCTGTCAGTGGATGGAAAATGTCAAAAGGAGGGCCAACAGATTGGTGCTTCCACTACGGCACATCAGTTATCCAGAGAGATTAGAATGCCTTTAACTGCTTAGCGTATAATACTGTATAGACGGGCAAGGGGTGACCTAATTAAAGTTTATAAACATCTCACAGGGCACTACTTGGTCGAGCGTCCATACCTGGAGCTGGCAGATGACCATCCCACAAGGGGTCACAGCTCAAGGATGAAGAAGTCACAAATCCAGAAAATTGTGAGGGCAAACTTTTTCGGAGCGATAACTATAAACCTTTGGAACAACCTGCCAGTGTGTGTTGTGATGGCACTGAGTGTGAGCTCTTTCAAGACCAGACTTGACCAACACTGGCACAGGTACAGATACATTCTGGAGCTAACACTGCGTAACAGAGACATGACCGACCGGTCAAGTAGCTAACAAGCCGATCAGTGGCAAAGTAGGATAAACGTAAAAGTTTGATATTCCAGGTTTTCTTTTATACAGTAATTTCACTGGATGTGTCTGGGCAGTAGAGACCTATTATATACAGGGGCATTAAGACATATTCTGATGTACCCACTCAGATTGAGATTAGGTGCTCCTTTACGTATATTCATCAATTCCTTCACTGGATAATCTCTTGACTCCTGATAACTACGGCACACCACAATATTCTGACTTCATATCACACCTTTATGTCCAGGATCAACATAAGATTGACACTTCCATTGATAACACCTACCTGCAGTCTCAACCACTGGCTTATATTACCCCATGACATAACACACATGACGCTCTTTCTACAACGTTAACTTATTAACTCTCGAGTCCAAGTGACGATTACCTGAGAATTTAATATGACATTGGAGGAATGCCTCGCTGGCCCTGACTAAGTTGGCAGCCATGTGGAGAGTGGATGCTAATAGTTTACCTAATTTTAAAATGGGTAGTTCAGATCAGCTTTAGGGCCTATACCCTGTAGATATGAAAAGATGTATGAGGGCCTATCTCGATTAACCCTTTAGAGAGCAGTTCCACACTTAGGTATTTTATTTTTGTAAATACCAGACAATTATATTCAGCTGAGAGAAATCCCCCAACCCCCCTGTCCTCTAAAGCATTAAAGTCAGCCATAGTTCACGGTTAATAATAATCCTACTTCTGATGTGTGTATCCTAGAATCTTAGAACAGTTGTGTAATGAACTCTTAGACCTCTTAAGTATTTTATTCAACAATATTAAGAAGGAAGAGAAACTCCCTGATGATTGGAGCTTAGCACATGCATGTCCTATTTCACAAGAGGACTCTCGCCATTGTAAGAATAATCAGTTTCATGAGCTTGGCATGTATAGTTCGTCAAGTACTGGAAAGAGATATACTGCACTGATTTTAGGATTGTCTGAACCTCTCTTACAGTTCATAGTATGCACCAAGTAGAAATATTCTCAAGTAATATTAAAAGGTTACAGTAATTCACCTCACAATGGAGTTTTTCTGTTAACAAGTCTTTGATAGACGTACACACGAAAATACCTGTAGTGTAAAAACATAGTGATCACCAAAGGTTTATGTGTAGGAACAACTATGGATATTTAAATTACTTATTAAAAACGTTCATGCATAACTATTCTTGTTGAAAAGAAACTTCACAAGTGTTTTGCCATAAAAAAAACATTATGGAAAAGTACATGTAAATAAAAGGTTGCCTACATAAAGTTTGATAATTCCACGTGCAATGGTATAAAACATTTAGATTCATACATGAACCTCTGCTGTAAAGTTAAATACTGTACAGTTGACAACCCTTTATCCGAAATTCCGAAAACCGAAAGTTTTTTTTTGGGGCATTTTTTTTTTTTTTTTAAACAGGGATTAGCTTACCTGGGCATAGATCACTGACCCACATCAGGGCCTGGGGGGCGAAAATGTAATAGTAATAAATTATAATAATAATAATTAATAATAATAATTATTCATAGTAAATAAAATTTTAATAAAAATACACCAAAATAAAATAATAATATTATAAAATAATAATAATAATAATAATAATAATGTAATAATAACAATAATAAAATAATAATAATAATAATAATAAAGAAATACAAGAATGAAAAAAAGATCAAAAGTGAGAAACACGACCTAGACCTATGAATTATTATTATTATTATTATTATTTTTATTATATATTCCCCCCTCCCCAGGCCCTGATGTGGGTCAGTGATCAATGCCCGGGTGGGCTAATACACATTTAAAAAAAAAAAAAAAAAAAAAAAAAAAAAAAACTAACCATTCTGAAAACCGAAAAATTCCGAAATCTGAAATCCCTCTGGCCTCAAGGATTTTGGAAAGGGATTGTCAACCTGTATAGACATCTTTTAACAGCCAGGTGTGATGACGTTCAGGGTTGGGACGTGTTTGGCGCTAAATTTAAGCCATAGGCGTTGAACATATATCTACCTCCTGTGTACAACTGAGGTCGTTATGTTGCTCTGTACCGTACCTAATTGACCCACTCACCAATGTTATGACACCCACCCATCACCACCTGAGCACCTCCACCCATTACTACCTGTACACTCCCACCCATCACCACCTGAACACTTCCACCCATTACTACCTGTACACTCCCACCCATCACCACCTGAACACACCCACCCATCACCACCTGAACACTTCCACCCATCACCACCTGAACACTTCCACCCATTACTACCTGTACACTCCCACCCATCACCACCTGAACACTTCCACCCATTACTACCTGTACACTCCCACCCATCACCACCATGTTTTTTTTATTTTGGTTTAGTGTTTAAGGAAGTCAACAAAACTGAATAAAGAAGTGAAATGATTGCTGTATCCATATTTACTCAAGGTCAACAAGTAACTGTACAACAGGATTACACACACCACTGCAGTGCTACATAACGAGTGTACAGTCCTTTTATTACTTTTATAATATATTTACTTTATAATATATTTACTATGTCCTTTTATTACTTTTATAATATATTTACTATGTCCTTTTATTCTTTTTATAATACATGTAATTATACTATGACAATGTTCTTGAGTTTGAGATGTGTATTTATAAGAGCAACTCTTAAGCATCAGGAAAAACGATTATCTAGCACACTCAATTCCCCATGTATTCCAGATATCTAAGGGTATACTGTACAGGGGGTCCCCGACTTACGAACGAACGCTGATATGAATGTGGTTAAAATAGAAATTTACAGTACAGTATTTCATTTACCTATGGACTTATTTTTTACTTTAACTTATAGTGGTCCCTCAGTTAACTAACGGTTCGATTAACGAAATTTCGGTTAACGAATTACCTCCCATAAGGATCTTCAATTCGGTTAATGAACAAAACTTCGATTAACGAAATCCTTACGACAAACACGTTTTGTTGTGAGCATCAGCTGATGGGCTAGTCTGCCAATTCAGTAATCTGTTCTATGTTTACATTTGTTTCCAGTGGAGTAAATATCAAGTTGTACTCTTTAATATTTTTGCATTTTTTATATTAAAATTATTAGTCATTTTAAAATTTAGTTAACATATTGACAATATATGCAGTACGTACAGGGAACTAGTTTTTCGTGCGCCCATCAGCGGCTTGACTCACCCACCAGGCGTCAGTGTGGCTTTGTTTATAGTGGAGTGAACATCGATTTTGTTGGTGTCTTGAATATTTTTGCATTTTTACATTAAAATTATTGGTCATTCTGAAATTTAGTTAACATATTGATAATATATAGCACAGTGCAGTGTTGATATAAATTGAATAATCTTGAATTACACCTAGTGAACTTAAAATTTTATTAGTGAAATTACTGCATCAAGCATGGGTCCCCTGAAAGGTGATTTCTCCTCCATCCCCACTTCCTTCTCTTCTCCCTTCTCCTCCACCCCCACTTCTAATTCCCAACATCATCAACAACCAGGAACCTTCTACATACACACCTCAAAGTAAGTGTACTTTACTGCATTTTTTGTTTTTACTTTGTATGTACTTTTCTGTGAGCTGGAACCAATTACCCAATACCTCATTGAAACAATGGATTCAGTTAACGAAATTTTTGGTTGACGAACGACTCTGTCGAACGAATTGTGTTCGTTAACCAAGGGACCACTGTGCTGTATTTTCTCATTCTATATCTTCTTTTGTCTTAAATTAAGTGATTTTTAGAAGTAGTACTGCATATAAGAACTTAAACTATGATACAGTGGGATTTTAAACATTGTTTTGTAAGTACGGTATGCATATAGCATGTGTTCCGACTTACGAACGTTCTCAGGAAAGGAATCCGTTCATAACCTGTACTCAGCTGCTCTCTTGGCTCTGAACAGGGATTTCTATCTTTCAGTGTCACGTTACACATTCACCTCGCCATTCTTATTTCAGCTCACACAAGATACTGTGGGACTCTCCTGTCCACATTACACAGTGCTGTATATAAACATGTGAATGGACCACTAGGACTGCTGCAAGTAATCAAATTCCTCCTCATGATAGGAAAATACTAGGCTGTTTGTTTGTCAACTAGTTATTTATAGAGGAGGAAATGAATATTTTAAGGTAAGATAGAAATAAATAACAATAATTATAAACTTTAAAAAAAATATTTTATTCTAAATACAACTACTGTACAGTACAGGGGACCGGTGGTAGATACCGTTCTTGCCTCGCAAGCGAGATGTCACGGGTTCGATTCCCAGGCCGGTGGAAGTTGTTTGGACTTGCTTCCTAGCCCCCATTAGTCCCTGTTCACCTAACAGTAAAGTAGGTACCTGGTGTAAATCGAAAGTTGCGAATTCGTATTCAGGGAAAGTTGTTGGAGCTTCCAATAACTTCATGACATAAACCACTGACTCTTCAGGCTTCTACGCCCTTATCTCGTGAGACATAAAGGCAAGCATGAACTTAGCATGCTTCCCTGTTGGGCGCTGTAAACGCTTCTGCGCTTCACCTTACACAAGGATGTAGGGGGGTGCCCAATAAAAAAAAAAAAAAAAACCTACTGTACAGTACTGTATTAGTATTGTCTTTGTATTACACTTCAGTATATAGACATTAAACTTATTTATACAGTAAACCCTCGATAACTTGGCACATATGGGGCTCTGGTCTTGCCGAGTTGACCCAAATTCCGACTTATCGAGACATCCCCCCCTCCCCTCCTACAAAAATACAATAAAAAATTATTGACCCCTATATGTGTGTACAGTACATGTAATTACTAAATGTAAAAAAGTAACACTTACCAGCACTGCAGGTGAAGAATGAAGCATCATAGTAGGTGATATAGAAGCATGGTAGGTGACACACAGGCATGATAGATGATGCAGGTGGCCAGCTATGCTGAGATTTTCCTAGATAATTTTATAAATCTCGGCATTTCCTGAGTTATGCTACAATAATACATTCCGAGACTATATCCATGACAAGTTATATGAGATTCTGAGTTATCAAGGGTTTACTGTACATCAATTGGAATTTCATAATTTACCATTTAAGAAATGCAACAAAATAAAGTCAAAAGGAAAAATTGTATTTTGAATTTCTGACTTTCCATTAAGTTTTACTATATATTATTTTGGCCGGACAATACAGCCAGTGAAGATGTATTCTGAATCAATAATAGTATAATATTGTCAGAGTACCTTGCCTCATCACACAGCTGAGACATTCCTGAAAATAAACTGCTTTCTTCTAAGGTCTCCAAAACTCGGAAAAATGATGGAGTCGCCATCAAGCAAATACAGTACTGTACAACATAAAGTAAAGCAAATACCACCACATGTTATCACATATAGTCAACACTTTGGGGACAGTGATGTCAACTTGTGTTCGTGTTCATTACCAGGTAAACATTGAAAAAAAAAAATCATAAGAACATTTGAATCTTACCATAAACTCCTAAGTTACATCATCAAAGTTCAGGGACCAGGGGGAATAAATAATGAACCCCTTTTATTCTGTGTGGGAGCCTCATGGGTAGATGCACAGCTTGTGGAAGCTACTCCACCACCAGCATATTCCTCATCTTTGTCACTCAAGTTTCCAGGAGATTCACTAGAATTACAATTCAAAGCTTGAAAAAGGTCACTATCTTCACTTATATCACTGTTACTATGTATGCGAGTGTCATCCTTGTCTCCAGAATAAATAAAAAAGGCATAACTTCCTCTTGTGTGTGGCACCACACATGAGCAGGTGCAGTACAACTTGACTCGGCCATGGTCCATCAATGAGCTACAATGGGTGAGAGGCCTACACCATCTAGGGACAGTTGCCAGAAGTCTCCACAAAAGATGTGTAGTAAATACAGTGCATGGGAAATTTAAATTGGGTCCACAATAAATATGTCACAACTGTTGCAGGGTATGTCCATCAGGGCTTAAGGAGGGACTTTTATTCCACCAATCTTCACAATGAACCCCATGATGTACATCTGAACTTTGATCTCCATAGGATTGTCGGTCTCATGGAACCCTGGCACACCAACCTGCTGCAAAGTTGACTGTTGTTCTGTCACCTGTAATGGAATAATAATATAATATTACATACAAATATGGGGGTCACCATTTTGTCTTCAAGAAGGATTCATGCGATTATTCCGCTTGAGCATTTTACTCTAAAACTGTCTCATTTAAGGAAGTTTAATTTGTGTATAACAAGACTCATAAGTACAAGTGATATCCCCATTAACTGGAAAAAATGGGACAGAGCTCTTTTGGGGATGAGATATTTCTGGGTAACAATACGACTCCCTCAAACCCGAAAAAATCCTACACCCCAAAAATTTTCCTGGGTAATGGGAAAAGTTTCTCAGGATTTTCCAGAATTAGGCATTATTTTATCCTCGGAATTTACTCCCAGACCTGGATAAAAATGGAGTTTCTGGAATTTTAAAGAAGTATGCATTATTTCATTCTTGGAATGTGCTCCCAGACCAGGAAAAAAACAAAAGAGGAAAATTTCCTGAAGTTTTCTCAGAATTTTCCAGAAAATGCACCCGATTTTCAACCTCGGAAACTCGTTGACAGACCGGAATGGAGAGAGTTTTTTCAGAAAATTTTTGAGAATTTAAATTCTGGGTATACTGGAAAGTTTCAGCTAATGGAGATATTACTTATACAACACTGCCCCTTATAATACTATTTCATTATACAGTGTATGTTCTGCAGCAACTTTTTACTATTAAAACAAAACAAAAATTAAAAAATAGTTTAAAATCTAATCAAGACAACACACGACACAACATTCTTGTCTTTATCTAAGCTGTGCATTTAACATGAGAGCAGTGTACACTGGCTACTGCTTAGCCAATCAGTGCCTGTCTTCATCAGTTTTGAATCCTTCTCATATGTGTGTTTATTCTACTGTACATTGATAGTACTGTACAAGTTGACCCTCTCTTATCTAGCAACATTGGGACCAGGGCCGAGCTGTATGATAGAAATTCCCGTTAAACAGAAGGAAAAATTAATGGTACATTAACCAAAGCTAAACTTAGCTTAATGCCCTATAATGTTATGGATTTCTTTGCATACCCGCTTAACACATCATATTGAATAAATTTAATAAGTAAACAAGTAATGTAACAATTACATTTAATAAATTTACATAATATATGAAATAAAAAAATAAATGAAGTATATATTAGAACTCGCACATCCCAGGCCCCATACAGTCAGAATTGGTCATTTGTAATTACAACATTTATAATCCAATGCCCTCAAACAATATTGTATTATTCCTGCAGTCATGCCTCCCTGGGCTCTTTCCATAAAACATGTGAAGCTACGCTGCATGACTCACTGTGGAGGCTGCAACAGCCGGGTACAGCTTCGTTGGAAAAATGAAAAGAGAATTGTGAAATGAAAAGAGGATGAAACAAGAAACCCATACCAAAAAAAAATTCTAAGGTTTATTTATCCAAGTGTGCTAGAAAAGCTTTGTTTCGTCTTGATAGGTGTGTGTATTGATATAGGCAAACTTACAGCATCAAGAACTGTTACTTGTAGTATGCCGAATAGGCACCATTGGATGACAGTTCTGCAATTTGAGGAAATTTTTCTATAAAAGGTAAATACTTTTTCCCATACAAAAAGACCCTAATTATGGGAAGAAATAAGTTGTTCGTGATACTGTACAATATTATTTTTGTAATTTTTCCGTCCCAAATAATTTTTGTAACTGAGAAACTCAAAGTTTAGTTGACCATAATTTTTTTGTGATAGACTACAGAACACTTAAATGGCAGAGATAAGAAAAATTTACAGCACTTTGAGGAAACAATGAGAAATAAAAACTTATCACCAGTCAGTGACACAACTTTCATCTCATTGTAAGTACCTGTACAGTACAAAAACAATAGATTAATTAATGGAGCTTGATTAAGATATTGTTTCTTGATAATAAATATTTATCATCATCTACAGTACACTGGGCTGAGCAGATTGTGTGTATCATTTATATGTTCTGGGTAAGTGAGTTTTGAAATTTACTTAACCAGATACAGTATTTTTTTTACTTATGACAAATTTTGCAGGAAATTTGCGTACCTGGTTTTTTCTGAATAATGATAATTGAACATTTTAAAACATTCAAATTTATTGTGTGTATCAATTCACAGTTGACTTGTGTTCATCGAAGTGACATCAGCTGTGATGTCACCGAGGCTATTACACACATTTGGGCTTTCTTATCAGGTTATGTCATTATGGGAACAGAAAAATCATGTGTGACATCACAATGTGGCATTAGGTCAAGCAAACACACCCACACACAGCCCCTCCCCCACCTTTTGCATCACTGTTGATGAACTTCACCAGTTTAAGATGTACAAAGAGGTGAGGTGAGGCATTAGCTGACTAATTCCCATCTGGGTATTTTCCTCTTACTATATAAACTTATCATTCAGGCAAGTGCTGGGAACAAGGGCCAAAAAACACTTGTCTGGCCCCTAGTCCAGGTTCTGCTGCTCTGCACATCCTGATCTATACTCTATATAGTGGGTAGTGACTTTTTGGACGTCATCCTGAACATATGCAAGGTTATGCACTATTATGCAATAGCTCCGAAGTTCATGCCAGGGATGAATTTTCTTTCATTCATTGAAATTTTTTTTAAACATTTGGAAAAATGTATTCCATTTCCTTATGGGGGATTTTCATAGATAAATTTCTTAAGTTGCAGGCACGAAATCGTCATACGTACCCATGATAAGTGGGGCACCACACGGCAGTGCACTGGGACTACTGTTTGCTTGTTTCATAAATGATATGCCAGATGCTATACACTCCTCCATACTAATGCTTATGGACAATCCTATGTTATACAGGGATATTAAGAACCAAATAGTCTGTGAAGCACCACAGGAAGATCTGTGTTGACCTCAAGTGTTAAAAGGAGTAACAACAAGTGTAAGTGCATTCAAGACCAAATTTGACCATTGGTGCAGGCTCAGATACATTCTGGAGCCAGTACTTAGCAGAGACATGAGCGACTGCCAAAGCAGCTAACAAGCCGATCAGTGATAAATAAGATAAAGTAATAAGTTGCCTAGACATAAGAACAAGAACTCCATATAATCCAAGTTGAGGCCTAAACATCTCGATGGAAATGTGACATATGTACCGAGTTTAGGACTCCTTAATTAAGGCTGAGGATATTCACGGCATGAAGTGGGATTACAAGAGATAATTTTCTCCCTAAAGGTCCCTATAGTGTCAACCATCCAAAGAAGTACATTCAAACCACTTTTAAATCAACCTGCATCAGTTCAGATGACCGTTTCCTCAACATTCTTCTAAAGTGAATTGAAAAGCTCATGAATCACACTTGAAGACTTGTACTAGCCATTACTAATGGCACAGTACTGTAATAATAATCATATAAAGTACATCTTGTTTCTGTGACCTTCAGGTATTTTATTTGGTAACAACTGCTCGCTGCTCCCATGGGTCTTTTACATCAGTGTTGGATGGATGTCCGGCATAATGTGAGTAGGAGAGGGAGACCTTCATGAAGGTGACACCAACACTTGTGTGGGGAGAATGTGGATGGAGAGTGGAATACATTTACACTCACACCTTTTTTACTTTTATCCTCTTCATCACTGATCGGCTCATTAGCCACTTGGGCAATAGGTCACGTCTCTGTTATGCACTGTTGGCAAGTACTGGGCATGCACTGGCTCTTGAATGTACCTGAACCTGCTCCAGTACTTGTCAAGTCTGGTCTTGAAAGAGCTCGGTGCCGTCACAACACTCTGGCAGATTGTTCCAAGAGTTCACAATTCTCACTCCAAAAAAGTTACCCACCACAGTTTTCTGGGCTTGCGGCTTCTTCAACCTTGAACTGTGACCCCTTGTGGGGCGAGCGTCTGCCAGCTCCAGGTAAGGACACTCGACTGAGTAGTGCCCTTTGAGATGTTTATACACCTCAATTAGGTCCCTCCTTCCCTGTCTGTAGTATAAGCTAGGCAATTGCAGGCACTCTAATCTCTCATGGTAGCTGAGGTGATGGCACCAGACTGATGGCCCTCCTTTGGACATTTTCAGTCAACTGACAGTCCCTAGCATATCTCAGGGGCCAGACAGGTTGACAGTACTCCAGACAGGAAAGCACCTCACTCATGAAAATTGTTACGAGGGACGGACCGTCAAGATATCTGAACGACTTTCTTATAAGACCAAATAATTTAGTTACCCAATTCACCTTCTTCTCACAATATCCCAAGAACTTCAGTTCATTGTCAACATCTACACCTAGGTCCTTTTCACATTCAGTCTCAATTAATGCAGTTTCTTCACCCTGTTGGGACATATCATACACCTCCTTGCCATTGGTATGTCCCAGGTGCCACCTCTTACACTTCATGACATTGAATTTAGCAACTATTTCTTCGACCATTCTTGAAGCTCACAGAGATCCTTCTGCAGCTCCTCACAGTCTGTTGGTAATGTCCCTTTACTCTCTCCCTACCTCTCCAAAAGAGGTGTGATATCATATTTTACATCCACTAAAAGTAAATGGTACAATACTCTTCAATATACTGTACAGTAATCTAAATAAAATTGAAATCCCTGAAAAACACATTGTAACATGCCTACCTTTTGGTCTAGAACTTGCTGTATGCGAATGTGGGTATCCATTACCTCTTGAGTATGACGAGCATCTACTTGTGATAACTGCTCTTCATGCAGTCGTGGCAGACGAGAGGCAACGTGAGCTTTGCCTTGGCGTTGTGCGGCCTGAAGCTCCTCCCTCTGGGACTTTAGTAATGCATCACGTTCACCTACAAGTATATAATATAAATATATATATATATTTTGCAATGGAGTTAACCCAAATACTAACTCGCCAATTATAATACACTTACTTTAACAATATTTGCAGTTACAAAAATGTGGGAACAGTTGTATACAGCTACCAAGAGTGGGCTAAACATATCGAGGGAGACCAAGTTAATAATCAAGCATCTGTAAACCTGAGTCACTCACTCTTGTGTCTGTTGACCATGTGAGAACGTTGTTCGTGCAAGCTCTTCTCTGTTACGTGCTGTAAATCTGCTAGTTCACGCACTATTTCAAAGACCGTATTATTAAGCAGCACATGGGCCAATGATGATAGAAGATCATATGGCAAGCGTTGCTGGAACTTGCTGAAATTACACAATTATTAGCTATGAATTGTTTACTGGTCCAATGGGTGTATATCTACAAGCTCTATGTTTTCTAATTGAACAAAGGATACTTCATAAATCACTTTCAACCCTCTTAAGGAAGATAATTTTTCAATACATATTAAAAGGAACAGAAAACATTTTTAATGAAGATATAAAAGCACCCAAATTTTAGACAAATATCAGAACATACCTACTAGCACACCACAAAATATGTCCAAACATACCTACTAGCACACCACAAAATATGTCCAAACATACCTACTAGCACACCACAAAATATGTCCAAACATACCTACTAGCACACCACAAAATATGTTCAAACATACCTACTAGCACACCACAAAATATGTACAGCATACCTACTAGCACACCACAAAATATGTCCAAACATACCTACTAGCACACCACAAAATATGTCCAAACATACCTACTAGCACACCACAAAATATGTCCAAACATGCCTACTAGCACACCACAAAATATGTCCAAACATACCTACTAGCACACCACAAAACATGTCCAAACATGCCTACTAGCACACCACAAATATGTCCAAACATGCCTACTAGCACACCACAAAATATGTCCAAACATACCTACTAGCACACCACAAAATATGTTCAAACATACCTACTAGCACACCACAAAATATGTACAGCATACCTACTAGCACACCACAAAATATGTCCAAACATACCTACTAGCACACCACAAAATATGTCCAAACATACCTACTAGCACACCACAAAATATGTCCAAACATGCCTACTAGCACACCACAAAATATGTCTAAACATACCTACTAGCACACCACAAAATATGTCCAAACATACCTACTAGCACACCACAAAATATGTCCAAACATACCTACTAGCACACCACAAAATATGTCCAAACATACCTACTAGCACACCACAAAATATGTTCAAACATACCTACTAGCACACCACAAAATATATCCATAACTTATCTACCAAAACATCAAATGTGAAAAAAAAGAAGTGAGAAATGTTGTTTAAAGGAATTATTTGATGTAGTGTACTGTATGTTGCTGGGGCTGTGGTCCAAGGCCAGTATTCACTAACAAGGCAGTTATGGTGATAGGAACTTTTTCCATATCTTCAGAAGATGTGGAGTCCGTACAAACTTGGTAAAGGATGATTCACTTACAGTTCATACTGTGACTGAAAGTAAAGTTTAGTTAAGTATGCTGATACCAGTGTGTGTTCTGGTGTACAGTACAGTACTGTATTTGCAGTGTCGTACATTGACGCCGTTAATTTAACGCCGTCAAGGGACGGCGGCAACTTTTTGTTAACGCTGGCGTCATCAATTTTTGGGGCGTCAATTTGTTCGTCAACTTCTAAAATTTTAGATTTTTCCAAGTTCGATTTTCAAATATCTTGTTATAAAGACGACCGGGAAAAGTCTTGCTGCGCCCGTCGCCCACGCAGCTTTCTACAGATTTAAATTTTCAAGTTTGAACCAGAATTGTACAGTATAGTCTGGATTTACGTGGTCAATTGAACCTGTGGAGGTCCGCGTAAAACGAGAAACGCGTAAACGAAATAACAGAACATATGGGGTTAATTGAAATAGAGACTGGGCCGACTCCCAAACTCCACTTTTTCCGACACAATAAGTACGTTGTAGTAAAAATAACATCTTAATTTTATGATGGTATGCACACACAATTAATATTTAAGAGAAATATCAATAATATTAGGTTTTTTAACACTTACGTCAGTAGAAAAGATGGCTGGGCACATGGGGATGGGGGGTTAGTTCCGAGGCAGAGGGCAGATTATTGGCCCTCCCCAGTATCACTTGTATCAATTGTATCACTATCCACCACAGAGGCTTGCAGGGCCTCTTTGTCAAACCCCTCAAAGTCCATATCCTCACTATCACTGACTTGGGCTGGCTGTGGTGGGTGGCGGGTGAAGAACTCGGTAATGTTTAGATGACTGGGCGACCTTGTGAGCACCCTGCCCGCTCCGCTTCCCGCGTAAATGACCAAATTTACCACGTAATTAAAACATTTCATTCTGGCAAGGCACCGTGTAAATGACTAAACGCGTAAACAAAAACCGCGTAAATGCAGACTATACTGTACTTTCTTCCTGACCGTTAGCATTGTGGTGTGAAAATGTGCAACCGAGCGGCGCCCGAAAACACGAGTCACAACGGAGGCTGTCACGCTGGCTCGACTGGCTTCCCAACATTAATGCAGAGGAAGTCACTAAAAAGGCCACCAACCAGCTGTCCAGGTTGGTGGAGAAGTCCATGCACGAGACTGAGAGCAGCAGTGAGGGAGACAACAAAGACCATGACGTGGAGGACGAATTGTTCCAGGCCCTGTACGAGACCCCCTGCAGGAATGAAAAAGACAGTGACCCTTTCAGGCGTTTCCTGGGGGAGAAACCTAAAAAAAACTTTCGACAAGGACACCTTCCCCAACAAGGCCATGAGGGAGTTGTTCATCAAATACAACACACCCATCCCCTCTAGTGATGCCGTGGAGTGCATGTTCTCCAAGGGCAAGGACGTCTTGAGGCCCAAGCGCAGCAGAATGAGTGACAAGCATTTTGAGATGCTAGTATTCTTGAGGGGGAACAAATGAATAATTAAAATGATATAATATAAATCATAATACATGATTTAAATGAATCAATATTTTTTTATTTTGCATGTTATTCCCATACACAGGAGAATACGCGTTTCGGGGCTGCATTTGTACGTCACTGAAAACTTGTTGACGCTAGGTGTTGGCGTAGTAGTCAATTTCTAGACCAAACATCGTGCCCTGAACAAAACCCTCAGAAGGAATATTAACTAATCACAACACACAGGTGGGTGGGAAGGAAATTTTTATTTAAAGCTAAAGGAAAAATTCTGAATATGAAAACGTCTACCTTCTTCCATACGATTTGCTATAGTCTTGAGATAAAAGAAATAGGTTTCTTCTGCTGTTGTTTCTTATTGAACATGAAACATAATAGCTCTATTTATGTCCATGAAATGCTCAAACTCCATGTCAACAAGCAAACATTCCCAGTGTCTTTATTTATGACAGAAACTGAGGAAGAACCCTGAATATGAAAAATGCTATTCCTCCTTCCAATTTGCTTTATTCTTGAGGTAAAAGTAAATTCTCTTCTATATATAATTTTTGTTAGGTGGCTGGTTAACCCAGACCGCTGTCATTAAGTGTTACAAATATTATTAGTCAAAATGCAAATCCTCATCACTTTATGGGGTAAAGATTCGTTTTAGGTCAATCATGGAATTTCATATTGTTATTTCTTTATTATGTTACTGGCACAAATTTATATCTTTCGTGTATTTTAACTGATAAAACCTTCCCAATTACTATTAATATTGGTTGTTCAAAGTGGGCAGGGCTTTGATGGAGAGGAAAAATGTGGGGTAAGGTACTGTACTACAAAGATCATATTGATAATATATGCAGTACAGGGAACTATTTTTTTGTGCGCCCATCAGCCGCTTGACTCACCCACCAGGCGTCAGTGTGGCTTTGTTTACAGTGGAGTGAACATCGATTTTGTTGGTGTCTTGAATATTTTTGCATTTTTACATTAAAATTATTGGTCTTTCTGAAATTTAGTTAACATATTGATAATATACGGTGCAGCAATTATTATGAAACACGAAGAAGGCATTAGAGCCAATGACTTTGTAAAGAATGTGGAATGTCATCATCGACTGCTTCTATAATTAGCCGTTTGATATGTAAACAAAGCTGCCGGGAATACGACATACACACCTCAAAGTAAGTTAAAATACAGTACGTATTCTATCGTTTTTTATTTATTAATGTACAGTATACTGTATAGTACAGTAATGCATTTAGTTTATATTTAATGTTTTGTTATTTCTATTACCCGTATACAGTACTTTGTATGTACAGAGGTATACTTTTTCTGTGAGATGGAACCAATTACCCAATATCCCATTGAAATAATATTCAGTTAACGAAATTTTCGGTTAACAACAGACTCTGTGGAACCTATTGGAGGTTCACGGCGCCATAGGCTCGATGAACAGGCTTTGTGTGAAATTAACAAAGTCTAGGACTGCTTTTAGTGTCCTAGTGGTCTAGAGGTAACGTTCCCCGATCACACACATAAGATCATGGGTTCGAGTCCTGGCGGGGTGAGGTTGTTGATTATATGTAGAAGTCCGAGCGCTTTATGGGCTAATGATATATATATATATATATATATATATATATATATATATATATATATATATATATATATATATATATATATATATATATATATATATATATATATATATATATATATATATATATATATATATATATATATATATATATATATATATATATATATATATATATATATATATATATATATATATATATTTTTTTTTTTTTTTTTTGGGGAGGGGCTTTTCTCCTTATATAAATACAGTAGAAATATATTCCAATTTTGACCTAAAACGAAATCGTTACCCTTTATGGGATTTTTTCTTAAAGGTATGAAACTATTTATATATACACTGTATATATAAATGATCAGTACAGTGGGGTATGCTATAACGAACGGATCCTACTACGAATATTCCTATAACGAACGGTTTTACCTATAAATTTGAGAATGCTATAACGAACGCAACTCCTACAACGAACGCGGATGAATACGGGACTATTTCGCCTGGCGCATGAATATTGTTGTACCGCGACCCACAACAAGAGCGTCAGGCGCCATCTTTGTCTCATTGTGTAGCCAGTGCACCACTGTTATTGTTGAAATTTCGTCTTTTGATGTGGAAATTCGCATTATTTGTATAACTATTTTGTTATACAAGTATACAATTGTAACAATGAGTCGTCCAAAGCGAGTGAGAAAGCTAATAACCCTTGAAACTAAGAAAGAAATTGTAAAGAAACGTGAGAATGGAAGAAGCATTGCGAAACTTAGTGATGAATATGGGATGGCTAAATCGACTATATGTACGATTTTGAAGAATAAAGAGGAGTTAAAAACTGTGCAAGTGGCTAAGGGAATCTTTAGACTTAGCAAAGCAAAGTGTAATGTGATTGAAGAGATGGAAAATTTACTCTTAGTGTGGATAAAGGAGAAAGAAATGGCAGGTGGTAACATTAGTGAAGCTATAATTTGTGAGAAGGCTAAACAATTGTTTGAGGACCTTAAAGCCAAGACTCCCAGTGGAAGTGATAGTGATGTGCCAGTGTTTAGGGGTACCTGCATGCTGAATAACACTAAGGTAAGATAAAGTACTGTATTTTTTACATTTTCCACAGAATTTTTTCAGTGTTAAGTGGTTGTATTTGGGGGCCTGGAACGGATTAATCCTATAACGAATGAATGCTATAACGAACGAGGTTCTGGAACCAATTACGTTCGTTATAGCATACCCCACTGTATTGTGAATACCACTTGGGTATAAATACACTATTGACACTTACGTTGGTATATCTCGAGCCAGTGTTTGTAATTTTTCCAGCATCATATAGAGTTTCTCTTGAGTATCTGAGGAGTTACCTCTTACACTGTGCATTATTTCCTGCTGTATATACAAAGTTCACTTTTGGCCAAGTTCCTTTATAAACACTGGAAACATCAAGTTTGTACGTTGACTCTTCTGTAATATATGGTAACAATTACTATGAATGTATGTAATGTGATTCATTATAACTGTAGTCATGTGATCATGACTTTAAGCCAGGGTCACACAAACTCTTTTATGAGCACTTAATTCTTTAAAATGTGGTCACATGGGTAGTTCTTGGATAATCCCTGAGAACAGCACTACCACCAGGAGGAGTGTTTGATTTCATTAATTTTTTCCACAGATGTTCTTATCATTATAATAAGTTCTTTAAAAGATGTGACATTTACTACCTTAGAACCTAATATCAGTTTCTCACTGCAATTTCCTCATCTTCCATGCCCTGCCCACTAAAGGCAATATATATATATATATATATATATATATATATATATATATATATATATATATATATATATATATATATATATATATATATATATATATATATATATATACATACATCATAGTTTGTGCAAATGTGCTAAAAAGTAGTTATTTCTAAATAAAACTTAACCTAACTTTAGTTGATAGGAAAAACAAGCAGCAAAAGCATTGTTAGAAGACCTCACCAACCTAACCAAAAAAATCTACCTAACCTTGCCTGACTTCCTAGCCGGGGAACGGAGCCCAGTATATTAAACAGAAAACTTATTATGATATGGTGTAAGTTTATGTTTTTGTGGGCGTGAGAGCAGCTGTTCGTAACCGAACGGTTCTTAAGCATACACTGAGAATCGGCGTTGATCCAGCCTGAATGGCGGAGTATTCTGAATTACAACAATGATTGACTGTTTACATCCTGGAATGAGACGTGACCACCACATTACGGCCAAGAAGACAAAGTAGTGCGAGCCTAATTATCTACCAAATGGAACATTTGCACAAGAAATGATTATCAGATCATAACTCACTGATGAAAATAAAGCAAGAAAATAAACAGTGAAACAAATAACTCATCCGCAGGTCAGTCGTCAACTTTAACTAAATTACCAAATAAAAAGTTGTTGCCTCTTAAAATACTTACTATAATTGATAGCCAGTGGATATTTTGCTGTGACTGGCAAAGTTCTTACTCATGCTATTTTACCGTGAGTGTGCTCTGCTCTGATCTGTTATTTGTCCATTACTGGAGAACACGAGAATATGTGACCGTGACTCTGGCGGCATTTGTTGTTTATTTCTTAGTTAGTCAGAAATCTATGTATGAAAAGTGGTTCAGAGGTTACATATTGATTTTTCAGGCGACTACAAAGTTGGTAAATTTTTACTTTAGGACATGTGTCCCTAGGGGCTAACCAATATGTTTTTCCAATGTATTTTGGTGTGTTTTAAGCAAATCTGACCTTCATTTTTGTCGGAAATTGCTCGTTTTTGCCCCACTCCGACCCCCCAACAATAATGGGCGAGAGCCTAGGAAATTGGGGTTTTTGGGTGGGGGAGAACACAAAAACAGGTCAACTAACCTAACCTAACCTAAATGTTTCTATAGTTTAAAACTTTGGGGCACACAATGTCCAAAAGTACAATACCTTAGTTAGAAGTGGATAGAATGATCGTCTTTCTCGTAAAACTCGGCAATAAACTTAAAATACTGTAGTCATAAGAGCACGAATCACACCCAACCTCCACCACGGCCAGTGTCAGACAGTCATTGAAATTCAAATCCGTACCCAGGCTGCTTCCTTTGAAAAAATTCATATGTGATTGGTAAAAAAAAAATCGCGTGATATCGATACATCATTGGTAATGACTGGACGACGTCAGTCAATATTGTGCATGAGTAATGCATAATTAACTCGGTTTCATGCAGATAACATCTCTTCACAGACGAAGACTGAAAAGTACGTAAAATCAATTCAATTATGTCGCTATTTTCCATTTCCGACTCGTATAAATGGGGTTCAAAATGCTCAGAATAGGGAGTTCTAAATGTGTCAGTAGTTTATAACTTTGGGGCTCGCTACGTCTTAAAGTAAAATAATACTTCTAAGTTTTTACCCAGCTCATACTGAACGACTAACCGATCAGAGCAGAGCGCACTCACGGTAAAATAGCGTTAGTAGGAACTATGCAGGTTACGGCAAAATATCTACCATAATAATATGAACATCTGTAGAAAAAATAAATGAAATTGAACTACTCCTGGTGATAGTACTGTTCTCAAAAATTATTAGTTCTTGCTCCAGTGAATATTAGTGAACAACGTCGAGCAGTAGATGAGACTGAACATAACAAGGCAAGATGAATGCAGGCGGCAGCGGCTATCCTTGATATTTATTATTTTATTAAAAAGAAACGAGACAAATTAAAGAAAAACGATTGTGGTCTCTTAACTGGTTGGACTATCTTAGTTATAATAGGGAGAAGGGAGGGCTACTGAGCGAGGACTAAAGCCTATATACTTTCCTTGGTGTGGACCTTGAACGACCCTCAGTGACAGTTCAACCACAGTGCAGCAACTCGGCGATATTGTGTTGTACGAACGTCACCTCAGGACCTAAATTATAAACTCAATAAATTATGTGTCTTAAGAAACTGTTTGTTCATTTTATACAGGAAAATGTTATTAACCTATGTTTTACTTGATAAATAAACTTCGTGTCATTAATTATAATACTGTTTTCTGAATGAAAGTCCTTGAGTGAACTGCAAGGACTGTGTGAGGAGGATAAGCGGGCTCCAATGGGCAAGGGCTATAGAGAAGGGTATTGAACTACCCTGAAAACTTATGGAATATCATAAAGAATGTTTGGGTATTACATGGGCAACTATTTAAAAAAAAGTATATAATTGGCGAAAATCGTTGCAAATAGTGCGTGCCTAATTTATTTTATTTCCATTTGCGCGTTGATCGTGCGATATAAAAAGTGAACAACAAATAAAATAAAACATTAAAAAATACACATAATTTTTCATATGGCCAATCCTAACCTAACCTACGTTAAATTAGGGTATTATTGCATTTTCACACCCCACATTCCTACCACTAATCAATTATCATATTCGAATAAGACGTCTAATTATAAGATAATTTTCTCTTCATCATCCATTATAATTTAGTGTACGGAAATCTGGGACCACAGAGTTTTTCATCTATTTTTTTCTTTTTTCCGGTGCATTACATTCAAGTGAAAGAGTTTCAATTCTTTTCATCTTCGTTTATTTGTATAACTTAACACTTCCTACATAATAAGTCCTGGAGCAGTTGGTAAAACATAGATAAACAAAGATGTTTTAGTTCTCCTGTGACGACAATAAACGTTTATATCCTCAAGAAACAGGATATTACTCACTTTATTTCCGATCCCGACTGTATAAATGAAGGATCTGTCTGGCGTACACACAGTCGCCCTCGTTCCTGGCCTCTGAGGCACACAGTCGCCCTCGTTCCTGGCCTCTTGGGCACACAGTCGTCCTCGTTCCTGGCCTCTTGGGCACACAGTCGTCCTCGTTACTCCATCTTAAAAGTCATCACAATGTCAGGATCAAGGAAGTTTTTTGTGATAGGGAACTGGAAGATGAATGTGAATAAGACTCATATTGATAACATAGTTAAGTTCTTGACGGCCGCCTCGCTTAATTTTAACACTGGTAAGTTTCAGACAGGTGCTCATAAGACCAGCCAGATGTAGTATTCTTTGACTTTAATGATTTTATTTCAACTACCAACTTGGAACGTGAAGCACTACCCTAATGTTATGTATGCAATTAGTTCTTGATGTCTACCGCTGTAGTATGAAGATCAAATATTAACTGGTGGGTTCATACTCTACAGAGGCAGTAGTTGGATGTCCTTCCTGCTATTTGTCCTACGCCCGCCACCACCTCCCATCTGAGATTGGGGTGGCCGCACAAAACTGCTACAAGGTACGACCACATACAGTGTTTTATATTGTTACTGCAATAAGGTAATTTATTCATTCATATGAGAGATATAAGTAGCGCCATCTTAATATACAAGTTTTAAGAAAATTTATATAATTGGTATTGTTATTGTCGAACTATAAAGTTTCATCTCTGCTTGATCATCAGGTTCCAAGTGGTAACTTCAGTGGGGAGATCTCGCCAGCCATGATCCAGGACTGTGGGTGTGAGTGGGTCATCCTGGGTCACCCTGAGCGTAGGGCAATATTTAATGAGCCAGACGAGCTCATCAGCGAGAAGGTCGCACACGCCCAGCAGGCAGGCATGAAGGTCAGACTTACTACACTTACTTTAACAGGGGTGGATCCAGGGGGGGCCTGGACCCCCCCCTTTTCATCAGAAAATTCCAATACTTTCTCTTTAATGCAGTATTATACTCAGGCGTTTTTGAATTGTAAAAAGTAATTACTATTGACCTCAGAATATCCCCAGCCACCTCCTTATCATGGGGGACTTTAACTATGGCGACATCGACTGGAGAAACGAGTCAACCCCGAATGACTTGAATAATCCTGCTACTCTTTTTGTAGAAACTCTGAGAGATAATTTTCTGTTCCAACATGTGAGAGACCCGACACATTACAGAGGGGAACAAACACCCAAGCCACTTGACCTCATCATAACAAACGAGGAGGGTATGGTGGCCAAACTGGAACACCTTGCCCCAGTTGGCACCAGTCACCATACAGTGTTGTCATTCAGATTTAACTGTTACCTAGTTCAAGATAAGGCCAGGCCAAGGTGCAAATATTACAAGGGAAATTACAATGGGATGAGGGAAGAGATGAGGGGTATCAACTGGCCTGACTTATTAAGGTACAAGAACGCAGACACTACGCTGAATATCATAACTAGTAAAATGACCCATTTGATCGATAAATATATACCCAAGACCAAACCCAGTGCTTCTAGGAATACGAGGGGATCCCTACACATGAACCATGCGGCGGTCGACAAAATTAAGAAGAAAACCCAGAAATTCAAGACGTGGGTTGGGTCAAACGATGAGCAAGACAGGAGGATGTATGCAAGAGCCAGAAACCAAGCAAAGATAGAGTGTAGGAGGGCTGAAAAGGAGTTCCAAAGGCTGGTTGCACGCGAGGTCAAGTCAAACCCAAAGGCGTTTTACCGCTATGCAAAGTCGAAATTGAAAACGCGAGTAGGAGTATCAGACCTGAGGCTTGAAGATGGTAGTTACGCAGATTCTGACCAGGATAAAGCTGAGGCATTGAACAGCTTCTTTTCCTCAGTGTTCACAAGAGAGGATGCAACTAACCTTCCTGCGTTTGAGGACAGACGGTTCGACACAGCACTGACCCACATTGTGTTCACAGAAGAGGGTATTAGAAATAAACTGTCCAGGCTAAAGGTCCATAAGAGTCCTGGACCTGACATGGTGCATCCTAGAGTGCTAAGGGAGCTGTGCAACGAGCTTGCAGAGCCCCTGAAGATTCTGTTTTGTAAATGCCTGGATGAACAAATGGTCCCCAGTGAATGGAAAGTGGCTTATGTGAGTCCTATCTTCAAGAAGGGCGATAGGCACTCCACGAACAACTATAGACCGGTGAGCCTGACCAGCATAATATGTAAAGTACTTGAGAGTATTATCAGAGATGCAGCGATGGAACATCTACTACGAAACAACCTTGTAAAAGATTGCCAACACGGTTTTATGCCGGGGCGCTCTTGCTTGACACAATTGCTCAAGGTATTGGATATTTGGACCCATATTCTAGAACGGGGTGGTAATATCGACAATATTTACCTAGATTTTGCCAAGGCTTTCGACAGTGTACCCCACGAAAGGCTGAAAATCAAACTGGAAGGGTACGGAATTCGGGGAAATGTCCTAGCGTGGATAGAAGACTTTCTACATGACCGCAAGCAATGTGTGGTGATTAATGGCACGAAATCGTCATCTGTACCTGTAACAAGTGGGGTACCGCAGGGTAGTGTATTGGGCCCGCTGTTGTTTGTTTGTTTCATAAATGATATGCCTGACGTTGTACACTCCTCCATACAAATGTTTGCCGATGACGCCAAGTTATTTCGGGAAATTAAGAACCAAGCGGACTGTGAAGAGCTGCAGAAGGACCTCTGTGGGCTCCAGGAATGGTCGAAGGAATGGCTGCTGAGATTCAATGTCACGAAGTGTAAGAGGATGCACCTGGGGCGTACCAACGGTAAGGAGGCGTACCATATGTCCCAACGGGATGAAGAAAATGTACTAGTTGAGACTGTGTGTGAGAAGGACCTAGGTGTGTATGTTGACAATGAGCTGAAGTTCTCGGGCCATTGTGAGAAGAAGGTAAATCAGGCAAATAAATTATTGGGTCTTATAAGAAGGTCGTTCAGATATCTAGACGGTCCGTCCCTCGTGACGATCTTCAGGAGTGAAGTGCTTCCCCATCTGGAGTACTGTCACCCCATCTGGTCCCCGAGATATGCTAGGGACTGTCAGTTGGTTGAAAATGTTCAAAGGAGGGCCACCAAGCTGGTGCCTGCACTTCGGCATCTCAGCTACCCTGCGAGATTGGAGCGCCTGAACTTGCCTAGCTTATACTACAGACGGGCAAGGGGGGACCTAGTTGAGGTTTATAAGCATCTCAGGGGGCACTACTCAGTTGAGTGTCCTTACTTGGAGCTGGCGGACGCTCGCCCCACAAGGGGTCACAGCTCAAGATTGAAGAAGCCGCAAGTCCGGAAAACCGTGAGGGCAAACTTTTTCGGAGTGAGGGTTGTAAACTCTTGGAACAATCTACCAGAAAGTGTTGTGACGGCACCGAGTGTGAGCTCTTTCAAGAGAAGACTTGACCAACACTGGAGCGGGTTCAGGTACATTCAGGAGCCGGTGCATGCCCAGTATTTGCCAACAGTGCGTGACAGAGACGTGACCGATCGCCCGGGCGGCTAGCGAGCCGACCTTTTGGTGAAGAATATAAAGGAAAAGAGTCGTGACCGATCGCCCAAGCGGCTAACAAGCCGATCAGTGGCGAAGAGGATAAAAGTAAAAAAAGTAATATGAAGTGCACATTGCCTCAAAATAGCCTCAGATTAAAAAAAAAAAAAAATCTGGGGGGCTCGCTGTGTTCAGTGCTCGCCATGTTCTCTCACCCAAAACTTCTTGAACCCCACCTCGCACTTTTAATGTTCCTGAATCCGCCCTGTTTAACTATTACAATTTAATTTAAATCATTTCCTGTTAATAAAAATTATATTAAAATTATATGATCTATTAGCATTCAGTAGAAACAAGTGTGTTGTATGCTGAGAATGGTAGTAATGTTACCAGTGTTGTTGCAGGTGGTGGCGTGCGTATGCGAGAGGAAGGAGGACCGAGACAGTAACCGCACAGAAGAGGTGTTGTTCAGGCAGATGGAGTCCCTGGCGGCCAGCATCAGTGACTGGTCCCGCGTGGTGGTGGCCTTCGAGGCTCTGTGGGCCAGTGGCACGGGCATACTGGCCACTCCAGCTCAAGTTCAGGAGGTGCTGGCCAAGCTGCGTTACTGGCTGCGACACAACGTCTCTCAGGAGGTGGCTAACTCTACTCGTATCATCTACGCTGGTTCAGTTTCCTCAGCCACCTGTCTGGAGCTCGCCAAGTTGAAGGACCTTGACGGATTCCTGGTGAGCAGTGCAGCTCTCAATCCCGACTTTGTTGACATTATTAACTCCTCGAGAATGTCGAGTTCTTGGCTGTGGGAGAAACACCAGCACTTGCAACACACCACCGCACTCATTTCTAACCTCAGACTAAGACACGTAAACAAAATATCTAACTTGGATTCATACTCTCCCAGTAGGACTATCTAAATGTATTCAGAATGATGATTACTTCACATTGTAAATCTTGGGGCGCTGGTGGTGCGGTACCACTCTTGCCTCGCAAGCAAGATGTCACGGGTTCGATTCCCGGGCCGGCGGAAGTTGTTTGGACACTCTTCCTAGTCCCTCTGGTCCCTGTTCACCTAGCAAAGTAGGTACCTGCTGTAAATCGAAATTTGCAAATTAGTATTCAGGGACAAGTTGTTGGAGCTTCCAATTACTTGCTTAGACATAAAAATCATTTACTCTTCAGGCTTCTACGCCCTTAACTCATGAGACATAAGGCAAGCATGAACTTAGCATGCTTCCCTGTTGGGCGCTGTAAATGCTTCTGTGCCTCACCTTACACTAGGATATAAGGGGGAAGGGGGGGTGTGCCCAATAAAAAAAAAAAGATATATCTTGTTATATTTCCCTAAAATATACATACAATTTGTAAAGTGTATTGAGCAGCTTTAAACAAGACTATAGTTGATAATGTGACTTTTGTACTACCTTTCATTACACACACACACATCTCTAGTCCCCGAGAAACACTAGACTAGAGACTCGGTTAATTGAGATTTGAGAATGTCTATAGGGGGGCCACCAGACAAGTGCCTGCACTATGGCACCTCAGGGGTGACTCAATTGAAGTTTACAAACATCTCAGAGGGCACTACTCAGTCGAGTTACCTGGAACTGGCGGACGCCCGCCCCACAAGGGGTCACAGCTCAAGGTTGAAGAAGCCCTCCTTAGGGGTGACGGCGACTACAGGGGCCCTGACGGGTGGCGGCGCTCCCAGGGGCCTCCCAAAGGCGGCGGCACTCCCAGGGAACCTCCCAAAGGCGGCGGCACCGCCAGGGGCCCTCCCAGATGTAGAGGCGCCCCCAGGGGCACTCCCTAGGGGTGGTAGTGGCCATCTCAGGGGCGGCTATGCTCCCAAAGACCCTAAGGGCAGTGGCGATCCCAGGGGCCCTGCCAGGGGAGGCGGCATCCCCAGGGCCCCTCACAGGGGCAGCGGCGCCCCCAGGGGCCCTATTAGGAGCGGCAGCGTCCCCAGGGGCACTGCCATGGGCTGTGGCGCCCCCAAGTTCCCCTTCCAGGGGCTGTGGTATCCCCAAGGGCCCTCCCAGTGGCGGCAACACCGCCAGGGGTTCTCCCAGGGGCGGAGGCGATCCCGGGGCGCTTGCAAGAGCGGGGACACCCCCAGGAGGCCTACACAAGGGTGGAGGCGCCCCTAGGGGCACCTCCCATGGGCAGCGGGGTCCTCCAAGAGGATGTCGCGACCTCAGGGGTCCTACCAGGGGAGGCAGCGTCCCTCAAGGGCCATCCCAGGGGCGCTGACGCCCCCAGGCGCCCTACCAGGTCGACAGCGCACCCAGGGGCCTTCATAAGGACGGCTGCGCCCCCAGGGGCCCTCCCAGGGGTGGTGGCACCACCAGAGGCCCTCCCAGCCGCGATGGCACCGCCAGAGGCCATCCCAGGGGCGGCGGGGGTCTTCAAGAGACGGTAGCGACCCTAAGGGCCCTCCCAGGGGCGGTGGCACCCCAGGGGCTTTCCCAGTGTCTCTTCCAGGTGCGGCGGATCACCTAGGGGCCCTCCCAAGGTGCGGTGGCACCCCCAAAGGCCCTCCCAAAGGTGGTGGCGACCCCATGGGCCTTGCCAGGAGCAGCTGCACTACCAGGGGCCCTCCCAGGGGCGTCGGCACTCTCAAGCGCCCTCTCAGGGGCGACGGTGCCCCCACAGGTCCCCCCATGGACGGTGGTGCCCTTCAGGGCCCTCTCAAGGGCGGCGGCGCCCATAGGGGTCCTCCCAGTGGCGGCGACCCCAGGGGCCCTTCCTGGGGCTGTGGCGCCCCAACTATGGGTATTCAAAGTTCGATTTTGGTGCTAATGTTTTATCCTGTAAGTACTTAATTAGTTAACCCCCTTAATTTTCGATTCTGAAATAAAATTATATTCTGGTAAAAAAATTACTAAGGTATAAGGCTTACATTTTCGACAGTTTAGGGCCCAAAATTAGATTTTGTTGAAAATCACATTACAGGTACTCCTGAGCATGCTGATTTTGAATGTATGCTCCACGATTCGATTGTGGAGTAATTATTGGCGGTGGCACTCTCAGGGGCCCTCCCAATGGCGGCGGCACTCTCAGGGGTCTTCCCAGGGGCAGCGGCGCTCTCAGGGGTCTTCCCAGGGGTGGTGTCTCCCCCAGGGGCCCTCCCAAGGGCGACAGCGACCCCAGTGAATCTCTCAGATGTGGAGGTACCCCTAGGGGACCTCACAGGGGCAGCGGCATCCCTTGGGGGCCCTCCCAAAGGTGGCGTCGCCCCATAGGACTTCCTTAGGGGTGGCCGCAACCCCAGGTGCCCTGCCATAGGCGGTGGCTCCCCCAGGGGCCCTGCCAAAGGGTGTGGTGCCTTCAGGGGCGGTGGAACCCCCTGAGCCCTCCCAGGGGCGACGGAACTCCCAGCTGCCCTCCCAGGGACAGCGGCGCTCCTAGCGACCCTCCCAAGAGCAGCGGTACGCCCCAGGGCCCTCCCAGGTGCGGAGGCGCCCACAGGGGCACTCCCTAAGGGTGGCAGTACCCCTAGGGGCCCTCTCAGGTACGGCTGCACCCTCAAAATCCCTCCAACGGCAGTGGCGACCTCAGAGGTCCTGTAAAGAGCTGTAGCGCCCCCTAGGGTCCCCTTTCAGTGGCTGTTGCGCCCTCAAGACCTCTCCCAGTGGCGGCGGCGTCGTCGCCAGTGGTTTTCCCAGGAGTGGCGGCGCCCCCAGAAGCCCACCTAAGGACAGCGGCACCCCCAGGGGGGCAGAGTCCCTCTAAGAAGCCGACGTGACCCCTGGGGCCTTCCTAGGGGCGGTGGCGCCCCCAGGGACCCTCCTATGGGCGGTGGGGGCCTTCCAAGAGACAGTGGCGCTCCTAGGGGCCCTCCCAGAGGCGGTGGCACCCCTAGGAGCTCTGCCAGGGGCGGAGGCGCCCCCAGGGGCCCTATCAGGTGCGACAGCTCTCTTAGGTGCCCTTCCAAGGGCGGTGACACCATCAAAGGCCCTCCCAAGGGCAGTAGAGACCCAAGGGCAGTAGAGACCCAAGGGGCCCTACCAGGGGCGGCAGTACTTCCTAAAGGGCCCTCCCAAGGGCGGTGGCACCTCAAAGGCACAACCAAGGGCGGCGGCACCCTGCCTTATCAGATAATCAGACCACTATAAATTGGTTGCTTCTGCCCAGTCACCTCAATATACCAGTGTCAACAAACACCCTGCTGCCAATTTGCATAAAACCTGCCAACCACTGTACAGTACCAGGTATAAGTACAGTACAGGCAATTGTACCTCTGATAGGAGTTTAGGGCCATATCAGCCTCTAGGATCAAAAAAGTTAATTGTCTAATTTTACAGAGTAGATAACTTGTAAACTAAGTGTTACTGGGTTTTAAAGGTTAATGAAACATTAAGAAATAAATTTTTAACTTTTACTTGTATTATTAATAAAATTGAGACACCATTTCAAACTAATTTCTGAATAATCAACAATAAAGTCAGATGAGTTTCTTTTTCTCAGTGGCACGCTACAGGTGTGCTAATATGATGCTTAATTTAGCACTTCTTAATTTTGTGATTTTGAATCAAGTTTTCTCAGAAAATCTAACCAGCACAGAGAAAAAATAAGAAGAGCTTAGCATTTTTAAATGATTTATTAAAAGCAATTTTTTTTAGGGGGTAAGGGCACACTGTTTGGTAGAACACAGTTGGGTACAATTGAGACTGAAAGAAGAAATATAGAAAAATGACAGTGTACAGTAAGTCCTCGTTTAACGTCGTGGTTCCGTTCCTGAAAACCACGACGTTAACGGAATAAATTTTCCCCATAAGAAATAGATAAAATACGGGAGTTATGTTCCCCAGCCTCCCTTTGCCCCATAAAATACATTACATATATATAAATTCAATGGAATTTTTAATGAAAATAGTATACTGTATATTATACATTCAAAAGGATAAATAAACTAAATCATTTTGTATTGTACTCACTGATGGGCAGAGGTGGAGCGAGTGTGTGGTGGGTTTAAAACCTCCATTTTCGTAGCAATGCTAATGTTCTTGTGTTGCTTCTTCACTCACTAACACTTGATGGGTGCTTGGAAGCCATTTCGAATGGTTACAATACAGTATTTAGAGCAAAAACACTTAAGCACGCACGAACGCTGTGGAAGCCTAACAAAGACTGGGGACGCTCCGCGAGAGAGCATAGCGCGCCAAGATGAGAGAGGGTGAGGCGCCGTACAAAGTAGTCCGTGACGACGTTATACCGAATCGGCAGGACGTTGTCCGAATCATGGGTATCTAAAGAGTAGCGCGGCAATAATAAACGAGGACTTATTGTACAGTATTACCGCTTAACGCGCTTTCACTTAACGCGTTTTCGCATATACGCGGTGCCTTGCCAAAGCTGAACTTTCACTTAACGCGGATTTTTCCACAGCAACGCGGTGAGTGTCCGGCTCGAGAGCTATTTTTAGATTCGCACCACCCCCCACCCGCCACCCTGCCTGACTGCCTGTTTTAGCTCATAAAATTCATACAAATTACCCAGCCAGAATATAGTTTACATTGCTGGAATTCTTATAATTTGGTGATCATTTTGAATATAAACAACATATTTTTTGCATTAAACATACAATTTTTAGATAAAATGTTTAATCTGAGTAAGTATGTTATCTTTTGTCCAAAATATATGACATTTATATTCAAAATATTCCTGGTCTTACAAGGAATCCAGCAATGTCAATTATATTATCCTAACTTTAGTTTGAGGTATTATTTATTAAAATTTAGTGGTTATCCCACACATCTCCTTGGGACGGTTGGTGGGGGGGAGGGAGGGACCAACCGACCGACCATCTGTTACCCGGTGAAGAATTATTTTTTTTTAACTGAAGATATTTGTTTTAGCTCATAAAATTCATACAAATTACCCGGTCAGAATATAATTTACATTGCTGGAATTCTTATAATTTGGTGATCATTTTGAATATAAACAACATATTTTTTGCATTAAACATACAATTTTTAGATAAAATGTTTAATCTGAGTAAGTATGTTATCTTTTGTCCAAAATATATGACATTTATATTCAAAATATTCCTGGTCTTACAAGGAATCCAGCAATGTCAATTATATTATCCTAACTTTAATCTGAGGTATTATTTATTACTAAATGTTAAAAACTCTTGAATGGAGGATTGGTGGGGGGTGGGGGGAGGGTTGGGACTGACCACGCGGTTGGAAGAGGGGGGGAGGCAAGGTGGGGTACTTTGATTGACAGATAGTGTTGAAGAATATATTTTTTTTTTTATTAACTGTAGATATTTGTTTTAGCTCATAAAATTCATACAAATTATCCGGCCAGAATATAATTTACATTGCTGGAATTCTTATAATTTGGTGATCATTTTGAATATAAACAACATATTTTTTGCATTAAACATACAATTTTTAGATAAAATGTTTAATCTGAGTAAGTATGTTATCTTTTGTGAAAAATATATGACATTTATATTCAAAATATTCCTGGTCTTACAAGGAATCCAGCAATGTCAATTATATTTTCCTAACTTTAGTTTGAGGTTATCCCACACATCTCCTTGGGACGGTTGGTGGGGGGTGGGGGGGGGGAGGGAGGGACCGACCGACCATCTGTTAGCTGGCTGTGTACTGTAGTGTGAGAGGGGGAGGGAGTTGAGTCCATTATTTGAATGGACATTAACTTGGCGACTGTATTTCTCTTAAGTATTAATTGTGTGCATGTACCATCATAAAATTAAGATGTTATTTTTACTACAACATAGTTATTTGTCGTCAAAAAGTGGAGTTTGGGGGTCGGGCTGGGTTCTATTGGAATTAATCCCATATGTTCTGTTATTCACTTAACGCGGTTTTCACTTAACGCGGGACCCTCTGGGTTCAATTGACCGCGTTAAGTGGGGTACCACTGTATTAAGAAAATAACAGATCTTTTCTGCATTACACTATTGAAGTTGTACACCAGTAACACAGTACTGAGGTTGTACACTACTGTACATACAGTACTGTACACCAGTAACACAGTACTGAGGTTGTACATTACATACAGTACTGTACACTAGTAACACAGCACTGAGGTTGTACATTACATACAGAACTGTACACTAGTAACACAGTACTGAGGTTGTACATTACATACAGAACTGTACACTAGTAACACAGTACTGAGGTTGTACATTACATACAGTACTGTACACTAGTAACACAGTCACGAACACACAAAAGTCAGGAAACAGGACAGTTCACTCTATGGGTGGGTGTACATTTGTACATTTTGTAGTTATCAATATTTTCATAATAAAAATCAACAAATAATTTCAGTGTTTATACTCTAATATAAAAAACTATGCAATCTATTGACTAAACAGAGAACCAACCCTTAAATCAACTACATAAAAATAACAATAATACATCTTCACATTTTTATTGATTTCTCATTCTAAAGTGAACAAATGGTAAGAATAATCTGGGTAAATAAATACCAAATTCAGAGCTCAAGTTATAACTTACGGTGGCGGCACACTGGGCACTTTCCTCCAAACTTGTTGCCTGTTTTGTCGGCCACTAGCCTAAACGCCCAGCAAACAGCAAGATTTCTGCTGTTGCGAGAATTGGACATCAGTTTGGCGGGGATCTTTGCTGGCCAGATTAGTGCTCAAATGAGGTTCATATAATTTCAAGTAAAAATTGAAATAAATCATGAAACAATAGTAAATTAAAATATAACACAAACGGTGACATATATTTATTTACTTGTCACTTTAAAACTTCTTTACTATTATTAAATCATTATTCAGAGTCTTATTTGACCAGACAGCCGCCGCCACTTTTACACAAACTTCACGACGCCTCACTTACTTCAGCAATTGAAGAACTATAGCACAATCCTGCAAGTTCTCAACTATAGTTACGGGATCCATGGTGAACCTTATCTAGACGCTTTATTGTTGTTTTAGTTGTGTTCGGCAGACCCACCAACAAAACATCCCAGTGTGACGCAAAACATCTCTTTGTTTTCCTAGCCGGACCATATTTGCCAAACATGTTTGAAGGAAAGTGCCCAGTGTGCTGCCGCCTTTATTGTTATTATCTATCAAATACAACAAAACACAAACATTCTGTACTACTGTAGTTGGACAACACATAGGGTGATTTATAATATCAGAGAAATGAAACTGTACTAACAAAATAGCCAAGTATTTTTCTTGTTCTAAAAAATTATACAGGGGGTCCACATTATTCTGAAAAATGATATAGGTATACTTTACAGTACAGAACTTATTTATACATACCTATAACAGTTTTTACCACAAAAAAAAATCATTATTTGTATGCCATACTCTATTATACATATACTGTAGCAATACAGTAAAACCTCAATTTAATGCATATCCATTGATGCTGGCAATTTGTTAAATCTGGATATTTACTATGATGTTTACAAGCGATATGCTGTTTACATACACTCTTATACAATGACCATGTCTAATGAAACTTTTTTTATTGAGTATCATTAAAGAGTGCCATGTCCCTGGATATTTGTGTGTTTCATATTCACACCTTCAAAAACATACAGGAGGTAATTTGAAATATCTGTTAGTAGACAGAGTGCCTGCTCGTGCTGCCATCCAGTGAGGGTGGGAGAAACTGTTTTTATCAGCTGATCGACTGTCTCCATTTGATACTTATATATTAATCATTTAAAAATTAACTTAATAAAACATACAGTATTAAATATTCTGAGGAGGTAACTTTTATTGATTACTTTATAGCATATATTTTTGTTGATTGGTATGCGTTTCATTTTTTATTGTACAGTACAGCATTTATATGATTATTAAGTGTTTCTGTGCCTTTTATTACAGATTAACCAATACATGTAACCTAACTTGACTAGTTAGGAACCTAACTTCCCTCTTATTACATTGATTTATATAGGAACATCAATCTTATGGGTATAGTCCCTTTTTGTTTCACATCTAGGCAATGCGCCTTGATATAATGAACTGTATTTTCCTATACAGTAGTCTGTTATATGGAGGTTTCATATATAACGAACCTCGATATAACATGTTGTACACACCCATACAGCCCATTAAATAGAGGTCTCACTGTAATCATTACGCTTATGGACTTTTAAGAATGGAACCAACACGAATAACAAGGACCCACTGCACTATAATTAATATAAGTTAGTCAGCTGAACAAAAACATTGCAACCATCTCTACTTTCTTGATGATGTGATATTAAACCTTTGGAAAGACTCACAATTGCTTATAATCCTGTTATATGCAGGATATCCAAGCACATTCTCCTCCAAATAATCCAGGCATATTGAAAACTGTCCTTCCAGCTGAAAGAAATATTTTTTACACTTCCTCCAATCAATTCAGGGGTTTAACTTTTAATAGACAATTATGCTTGACTCCACTGATACAAAACTAGCATAGTAGAGGATTAAACCTTTAATGAACAATAATTAATACTGTTGAGGTTCATATTTACAAAAGACAGTTAACCAGTATACAAAGCACATTTTGGGTCACTGCTTTATGTTACCGAGCAGTGTTAACATTTTCTTACAAAGAACACCAGGTAGTTCTCAGACATTAGAACTATTGGATACCTCACACGAGTAATAACTATACCAATGGCTGATAATGACACTGTACAGTACATGGTCACTATTGTATAAAAATACAAATAAAACTTTTTCACTTACGTACATCTTCTCATTTTAATTTCTTACTCAAATTTGATAATAATTTAACTATATAATTATTCCATATCTAAACAAGATAAGGCACTTTATAAAGAGTAATACAGGTGAACCCCAATAACCCATGTCGCGTTTACCGCCAATTCGCACAACCAACGATTACATATACAGTGACCCCTCGTTTAACGAACGCCTCGGTTAATGAAATTTCGGTTAACGAACTGCCTTCCATAAGGATCTTCAATTCGGTTAACGAACAAAAATTCGGTTAACGAATTTCTTACGAACCGACCTCAACATGTTTTCGCTTGCACTGACCGGGCAACCAGCTTTAGTATCAGTCCGCCAATACATTAATCGGTTCTAGGGTTTAAATTCCTTACTATTTTAGTAAATATCAAAAAGTTTATACTATTCAACAATTTTAAAAGTTTGATATTAACTTTTTTAGTCATTTTAACAATTATTGAACATAATTGAAGGTAAAGAAACTAGTTTCTGGCGTGCCATCCAGCCTGTTAACACACCAGACAGGCGTTAGTCTCTCTCTGTTTTCAGTGGAGGTAACATCTTGCTTGAGACTCTCTTCAACTAAACGCTTTTTTCTGTGTTTCCAAGCAAATTATTGGTCATTTTGAAATATATTTTACATATTGACAATATATAATGCAGTGCAGTGTTGATTTAAAGAAAATAATCTTGAAATACACCAAGAGAACTAAAATTTTATGGATGAAATGGTGCCATGGGGTGACTTCTCTTCCACCCCAATGCCTTTTCTTCTTCCTTCTCCTCCACCCCCATTCTAATTCCCATCATCATCATCATCATCCAGGAGCCTTCTACATACACACCTCAAAGTAAGTGAACTTTTCTACCATTTTAGTTGAATTTAGGAAATTTTCGGTGAGCTGGAACCAATTACCCAAAAACCCATTGAAACAATGGTTTCGGTTAACGAACGACCTTCTGGAACGGATTGAGTTCGTCAATCGAGGGGTCATTGTAGGGGAAATACCCCGCAAGTTTCATTGATACCCCGGAGATCTGATGATCGGCAGAGACGGTGTTGTGCAAAATATTACCACCAGAGGGCTCTGCCTCTGACTCATTCCTGCAGTCTTTGCTCTTGTTTACAGTATTATGTTCCTCTGAGTTTGTGTCTTTTGTTATTTCTGACTTAGTGTGTTACTCAATCATGCCTAAACACCCCACTGATAGTTCCTCTTGTGCTTGGCAACTGATGTGATGTAATAAGGCCTAATAAGAGTGGTGATTGCTTTATATGTCTGCTTTACTTTCTTGTTTGACAGTGTGCAGTATAGAGATATATCAAGGATCGATAGGAGATTTTGGAGGGTGGCCGGCCCCTAACCGCCTGACTTTATGTTTTTATGGGGTTAATTGTTTCGCTAACCAACGACTTTTCCCAACCCCTGTAGGCATTGGTTATAGGGGTATGCCTGTATATTAGTACGTTAGTGGTCAAGAGACAACTTATTCTTAAAATATAAATTTGTATTCTTTGACTTCTAAATATAACTTTGCAAGAAACAAGAAAATTAAATACTCCCAATAAAAAAAAATCCAGCTGTTATAATGAGGATTTTCATATACACTGTACATGTACTATCAAAAATTTCTATAAACAGTTCAGTTAGAATATATTACTAATGCCTTTAACAGCACTAGAACATCCTAATGCTCCTAACTTACTACAGCATCCCAAAATATGTACAGGTACTGTAATTGTGCCTAACTTTATGATGATTGGAAAATTTCCAAGCATGAATTGTTTCAACAAGATTTGTTATGATATTTACCGTGAGTTTCGTAATAACTCCAATCAGTGCCTGCTCTATGTTGCAGTAAGTGGGTTTACAGTCTTCTCATTCCAATAAATATGATTCTACATAAAGACGAGCATAATAATATACAGTACAATGATAAACTTAATTACCAATTACTGTAAATAATATAATACATTGTTAATTAATTAATTTCTTTATATTCTCATAATTTCATAGAAATCACATTTAACATAAATATTCAGTTAATACAGTACTCAAAGATAAGAAATTCATGAATCTTTAATTCAGTTTATAACACTGAAATCAAGAGTAAAGTATCAAGAGTCAGAAAAATACAGTTATAAGATCAGCAATGCCAACTATGTTCATTTTGGCAGCATAGAGTATACTGTATAATGAAAAGGCATTTCTTTCGGTAATAATGTATGGAAAGGAAGGGATGACACTCCTCCATCTTCCTGAGACTCGTATATCAGTCATCATATTGTCCATTTATTTAAACCATGTGATTCAATAATTTATCCCTGACTCTTCATCATGTGTTAAAATACACACATTTAAGTGTACAATAGAAGAGGCAGCGAGCAGTACCTTTGTCCATTTATAACTTTAATAGTATAGCACATTTGATGGCGTGGTTCATCTATAAACTTTGAGAAATATTGGGAATGTACTTCAGTATACAGTAACTTAAAATGGTCACAAAAATCTGTGTACTTAGTCAAGACCCAAAAACTTAAGTGATGATTCACACTTCATGAATAAATACAGTACTACAATAAAAAATATAGTGTTATATTGCATGCTGCACATATCACATATAAGTATCATATAAGAATAACTTAAAATGCATAGATCCTGCTTCAGACAAGACAAGACTTGAGATTGTGCACTACTGTCTTCTGAGGTTAGTAAAACCTTGTAATGAGAACAACTTTCACCTCTAGTGATCAGGGTTCGCATCCTTTGGCCATCTACCGTATATAACAAATTAGTATTTTATAACTGATGCTAGTTGTAGTAGTATAATTTTATTAGTAATATTACCTTTTTCTTTGTTTATTACTGTTCTCGTTCTCTCTTGTTAAGTCACCTTATATTAAACTAGAATATATATAGTTGTAAAGTTTACTGAATAATTTACCAAGTTATTTCCAGTGAAAGATCAACAAACAGGAATATTTTGAGCAAGAGTTCTTTTTCATTTAGTTTCTGCCAGTTAATCACAAAAATATATACAGGGGATCCCAGACTTATGAACATCCGACTTACGAGCACCTGCCGATACGAACGGGGTTAAACTTGAAATTTACAGTGTTTTATTTACCTGATGACTTATTTTTTCCTTTTATTTACTGTATTTTGTCATTCTATTTCTTCTTTTGTCTTAAATTAAGTGATTTTAGATGGATATAAGGACTTAGGCTATGATATGGTGGGATTTCAAACATTGTTCTGTACAAATCTGACTTAAGAACGTCCTCAGGAAAGGAACCCGTTCATAAACCAGAGACCCCCTAATAAAAATTATTTAAATACATTTCCCTGATCCCAAAATATATGTCCCTCACATTCTACATGTCCACTGTAATCATTCAGTTTTTAAATAATAAATATCTAGATAAAGATACAGATATAATAACAATAATGTCACCAACCTCCAACTTGCGGCGTGGTGATCCATCAGCACAGTGAACCCTCTCTTGCACTACACTCTATATACTATTTTGCTACAGGAAAACAGGTGACAACAAAAGCAATCATAGAGTTCTGTACAAAACAACAAATCATTATTCAAAACTGACACAGTGTTTGTAATATTTAATGGCACCATGTGAAACTATCTCATCAGTAATCATAACACACACACACACACATGCACACACACACATGCACACACACACTGTCACAAAGGATCTCACTCTTTATGTAGCTGGAATAATAACTCCAACATCATCATCTTTAAAACCAGTGAATGTGAGGGAGATAATTAAATCATATCCTACTGGCTGATGATTATGGGCTGAGGTACAACAGATGATTCCAGTAATGGGTTGGTCAAGTCTCGGTCCTCTGCATCACCTTGTCTCACCGCTACAGTGCTGCGTTCACTTGCATTACTGCTGATTGCTGCAGCTGGATATGTTGCTGAAAAAAAAATATAATGAAAACACAATAATTTACACGTGAGTGTTATGCTCTGTAAGACACACACACTGATGTATACCTGAAATACACAGAAACAGAGTACAGGTACTGTACACTATAAATAAGGATTACTATCAGAAAACAAGCTGGTAAGATATATACTTTTTTGGAGGATAAGCAGGAAGCTGCATGTGAACAGAGAAAGAGACAAATACAGTGAATTAATGAGAATATCAATCAATCTATCAAGAGTACTTGCAGGGGTCTCATATCATGTTATCTTTTCATATAAATTGTTCTTGATAAGTACAGTATCTACTCTTTTCATTACAAGTACAGTAGTGATATCTCATTAGCCAGAACAAATGGTACAGAGCACCTCCGGGAATGAGAAATTTCTAGGTGATGAGACGACACTCTCACAGCCGAAAAAAAAATCCCTCATCCCCGGAATTTTCTGGGTAATGGAAAAATTTTCTTGAAAGTTTCAGAATGATGTATTAAATGATTTTTTTAAACCCGGAAAATGTCTCCCATTCCCGGAATTTTCCGGGTATCAGAAAAATGTTCTCAGAATTTGAAAATGCGCCCGATTTTCATCTCTCAAACCCGGAAAAAAATACCCCCTCAACGGAATTTTCCGGGTACTGGGAAAATTTTCTCAGTTCTGGCTATTGGAGAGTTCCGGGTTTGAGGGGTTTCGGCTAATGGAGATATTACGTACATACAGTATTTCTGTGAAAAGCATTTCTGAAACAGAATTCATGTACTGTAGTATAATACTGAACTTTGAAACCATCAATTAGGAAACTGCATACATTTGACTGAAAATCATGTTTTTTCTAGCTAAAACATAATTTTGAGGTTTTCGCTGTGGTCGGTTAATTTGGCACCAGTTATTTATAATGTAAAGAAACAATTAGAAAAAGTACTGGAGTTCTATGAAGATAGTGATAGGTCAAAATTAATGGAAAATGTATGACATTGAACAAACCCAGGAGTCTTGATATAGATAAGATTCTAAATGAGTGGATAAGATATCAATGGAGTAAAAATATTCTGTTGGATGCAGTACTGATAATGGGGCAAGCCAAGACATTCCACCAGGAGTTACGTGAAACAACCCATTGCACAGTAAGGACACCTGGGGTGATTCAACCAGTTCAAGATATTCCATGGTTTGTGGCTGCTGAAGGTGTGTGGTGAAAATTATCACCTGAGCAAGTATATAACAGGGATGAGAGAGTAATTTAAGGCACTACAACTCCAGGAAGACTCAGGTGACTTCTAAAGAACCAGTACTCTTATGGTATGAGTACTTGAGAGAAGGACTGACATACCATGTGTACAATTACTGCTGGCTCTCATAGGAAATTGCTTGTGATTGGAAGAAATATGATACCCAGGACCTTTAAGGACTCAAGATATTCCTAAAGCACATTGTCAATCAGTTGGTCATCCCAATGAATGCCAGACTGTTCTAGAGTTGGACAACTGCGCTACCCACCCTGATGCCGAGCTCCTTATAAAAGATAATGTTTGTGCTGTTGGCCTGTCACCAATTTGCACCTCCCTCATTTAACCTTTGGACCAAGGTATCTATCGTACTTTTAAGGGCCACAAGAAGCTTCTTTATTGGGGTTGTGCCTCTGCACTACTACTGTATATGCTTGATCTTTCATCCTGAAAACCAAAAATCCTTTGGCCCCAAGGATTTGAGTTTTGTGACTGAGAACCTGTATACAGTACTAATACAGAGGGTCCTTATTATACGCCGGGGATGCGTTCCAGAGAAAAGCAACTTTTAGTGGAGGATTTTATAATGAGGAATTTTTGCCCATAATGATGAATGTAATTAGGGGTGTATGTGTTAAATACCCCTTGAAAGCCCAGGATGTGTCCTTGGAGAGAGAGAGCTTTCAGCAAACTTAAAATGGGGTCATTATAACATACTGTGCTGAACTGTATAGTATTTGATATGCAGATACATTCCTAACAATGTTACTTATTACCTTTGAGTGATACATGTTGGCTCAATTTGGCTACTTGTACATTTAGACAACTGATTAATGAATAAACCAGGGAATATGCAGATGCAATATTATTTACTAAGTGTTGCAGACAGTTGTTGTGATAAGCACCATCCATCTTGAGCAGTGACAACAGAGATGCATGAGAGAAAGAGAGTGCTGGCAAGACTGTGAAGGAAGGTGAGAACGGTCAGCTGTCTATGCTTTGCAAACATAGCACCAGGGATTTAATACAACATAATACTGTAACTCATCTCGGGTTGAGTGTGGGATTTATTTTTCGGGAAAATTGATTATTAAACTGGTACGAAATGAACCTAGATATAACAGGAATTATTGTGAAATTGCATATTACCATTTTAACAGGGGTTGAAAGGAGAGGCAGTTGTCCAGGCACTCACCTACCCTACCTCCCACAGAATGTACTTCTCGCTCATTTTTCTTATTACTGTATATAGTTTATTTTCTTTATTTCTAAGTCACATTAGAGCATTTAATTTATATTTCCACACTTTTATGGTTTCTTATGTAATAATGGCACATGCGCAGCTTTCTCACAGCTAACAAGTGCACGCGTGTTATGGTGATTTCTAGACTAGATATTCTCTCACACAATATGTATACCCCTACACTCTATTTTTTTCTTAATTTATAGCTTTATAATACTGTACAGTACAGTATACAATCTACACATTGAAATGACTTTTCTGCAAATTCTGTGGTTACACATAACAATGGCATTAGCGATGAATTGTGAGAAAGACGACTGATGTATTTTGGCATGGTAAAAACTTAACACTCGTAGGACAGCTTTATTAATTACTATGGTTATTCATTAAAGCGAATGTTTGTTTTCATATACAGTATAGAAATATAAAAGTAAAATTTGACTCACTAAAATTCATTTTCGTTTAGCAGGCGTATGTATACTGTACTGTATTGGGGGAATACCTGTGAACAGTACCAGTTTTGTACTGTTACCTATCATGATGCAAATTCCAATTTACATTTATCCTTGCATATAACCCTGATGAGTTACTGATGGTAGCCAAGTTTGTGGGGTTGGAAAAATTTCCTTTTTAAAGAGATTTTTTTTAAATATTCCTGTACACCCCAGTAGTCCAGCTCTTCTGGAGGGACAACAGAGGTAATAGACTCTGCAGGTATCCCCAAATGTACAATCTCCCTATCTACGATATTCCGTTTTAAAGATGGTGATGTATTAAGACTACCCCTTATCTTCGATGTAACAATCCCCATGAACGATGGTTATCATCTGGCCAAACCACTATACAGTCACAAAAAACATATACAGCATAGCAAAAATCCTTTTACAGTCACCAAAACAGAGTGCAATGTGAACATTAGTGATGTCCTCTTACTGAAAGGTAAAAAAAAAAAAAACACCTATGATAAGTAACAGCACTGATACTGACCGATAATATCATTGAATTACACGATCTCGGCCATGTGGCATCACCATAGAACATAGGTTTCTGCTGTAGTGCACCAGGTGGCCCCTTGGCGGTGTTCATGTTTATTGCTGTCAACATGAACACCGCCAAATGGTCACCTGGTGCACTACAGCAGCAACCTATGTTCTATGGTGATGCCACATGAACAAGATCATGTAATTCAACAATAATTGGTCAGAATCGGTGCTGTTACTTATCATCAGTGTTTGTTTTTTTACCTTACAGTAAGAGGACACCCCTACCGTTCACATTACACACTGTACAGTACTCTGTTTTGGTGATTGTAAAGTTATGTTTGCTGTTTTTTGTGACTTTAAAGTGCTTTCTCTCTTGTTGTCAACATGCGAGCAGTGACAGCCACTATCATTGTATTCTGGCAAATTATTGCTAGGCATTAGCATACTGTAGCTAGGTATAAGCTAGGCATTGCATTCTGGACTATATCACAAAAACTGTTTTTTAGAAAAAAAACGGCTTATTCTCAAGTCTTTGTGTTGTTTCAAGCACTCGTGAATTCTTCAGAAGAACTGGCACTTTTGAGAAGCAAAAGACCAGCTATTATTATTATTACAGCTGAAATGTTCCATATTTACACTAACCCCTTAAGATACAACCCCATACACAAATGGGGTTCATTGTACAATACAGTACTGTACACTACTAGAAAAGATTAGTAAAAATATCTGTGAGAGGCTGGAGTCATAGACCACGTTCTTTGTAGACTTTATTCTAACAGCGTCAGCTGGTGACTGGCAACCGGGCGCTGCCAAAGACAAGCCCCCCATCTCAACATGGGAAAACATATCGTACGATGGTACAATCTTACATCTCCCCCCCAAGTTAAAAGGAAATGACAATGCACATTTGAACTAACAAAAGGAAAACAATGCATTCATAAAAACAACAATAATGCAGGAAAAACCAGTCAAACAAAGGAAAAAAAAAAAAAAAACCCTCTAAACTGATTTTACATCACATACACTACACCACGTAGTCCGTCAACCAGCCAGGAGGCCTACGGCCTCTCCTGGGCCTGGCCGCGCTCGACTGGGGAGGGGCCGTGGGTGCGAAGGAGGGCGCGGGTACGGAGGGCACAGCAGAAGGGGGGCCAGGAGGCACAGCTTGGTGCACCACCGGAGTAGTAGGCACAGGTGTGGAGCCGTTTCGCAGGTGGCGTCTGATGCGGATGGACACCCTGCCACTGCCACTCAACCTGACGGCATACTGCCTGTGAGGGCGGGCTTCCACCACTATGCCTGTCCTGTCCCAGAGCTTGGTAGCTGCATCCTGCACATACACCTGCGTGCCCACGACTAGGGGAGCCAGCTGGCGGGATACCTCCCTCCGCGACAGGACCCCATCCTGGGTTTCGGCCAAGCGCACCTCCCTCATACGAAGTGCCCGCCGCCAGTGCTGGTCCACCTTATAGTGCTGTCTGGCCACGGGAACGCCGTCACGGAGCTGGCGGCCGGTGGCAAGTTGGGCGGGCGACTTGTTCACCCCCCACAGAGGCGTGTTCAGGTACTGGAGGAGGGCCTGGGATGTCCTATCGCAGTCCAGGCTATCCCCGGGCCCAGTGTTATCCCTGAGGAGCCTCTTGGCAGCCTTGACCCCAGCCTCTGCCCTGCCATTGGACTGGGGGAAGTGGGCCGACGAGAGGCGCACCTCGACCCCCCCCATGACTTGAGGAAATTTGTCATCTCAAGGCTGGCAAGGTTGGTACCTCCATCTGTGGAGATCTGCTCAGGTACCCCCCACCTCGTGAAGTAGGCCCGCAGACTGGCGATGATTTTTCCAGAGGTGGCCTCGTTGGGGAAGTGGGCGATCTCCAGCCAACCTGTCAGTCGGTCAGCATATGCTAGGTACGTGCGGCCCTGCAGGTGGAACAAATCGGCCACCACTTGTTGAAAGGGATAGTCTGGCGCTGGGGTCAGAACCAACGACTCCGGAGGCTGGGAAGGGGCGTGGGTCTCGCAAGCAGCACACCGGGACCGATGATACTGCAGGTCACCCTCCATGCCAGGCCAATAGACAGACTGCCGGGCCCGCCTGAGCATTGAGTCGAGGCCCTGGTGCCCCACATGCAGGTTAACGGCGACCCGGTGGCGGAGGGAGTCGGGGATGACAAGGCGCACGCAGCCCTGGTCAAAGGTGTAGGTGACCAAACCCCTGACCACAGCCAACCTGTCCCTCACCGAGAAGTACGGGCGCAGACAGGCCACCTCCTGCGACTTGTGGGGGTGCCAGTCGCCCGCCAGCACCCTCGACACTAGAATCTGGTACACTGGGTCGTCCGCAGCCGCTTTGCACACTGTGTCTTCGTCCATAGTGATGCACCCATCCTGATCCAGTGCTGCGATTGTGACTGCACACACTGCAGCGCACAGGTCCTCCTCTTGGTCCATGTCCTCCGCATCAGGCGCCGCCCTGAGGGAGGGGAAGCGGGATAGGGCGTCAGCTGCACAGTTCCGCTTCCCTGGCAAGTATTTGACCGTGAATCGGTACTGCAGGGTCTTCTCCTTGAGCCTGAACAGGCGCGGATTCGCCACATCCGTGAGGGCTCTGTCTCCTAGCAAGCCAACTAAGGGGCGGTGGTCCGTCACCAGAATGAGGTTCGGGCAGCCAAGGAGGAACAGCCTGGCCTTGCACAGGCACCACACCACAGCCAGGGCCTCCCCTTCTACTGCAGCATAACCGGCCTCGGCCATGCTCAGATGTCGGCTACCACACAGAGCCAACCGCCACCCTCCTCTGCAGCAGAAGGGCGTCTCTGGAGAGGCACAGGCACAGTATTGTTGCAGGACGACGAAGCCGATGCCCTCCCTGCTCCAATCAGTGACAGCTGCCGTAGGCCTGGATTTGTCGTAGTACACCAAGCCGTCTCTGGCCAACTGACAGATGGTGTCCTGGGCCTGGCGAAACTTGAGCCGCAGCTGGTCGTCCCAATACACCTGCTTGCCCACTGGCTTCTTGAGGAGCTCACGGAAGGGCTCCATCACAGGTGCAGTGGCAAGGAAGGGAGCCAACTGGTTAACCAAGCCATGCCAGGACCTAATGTCAGTGATTGATGGCTGATCCGGCATGGGGAAGTCCTTGATGGCTGACAGACGTTGGGCAGTGGGCTGGTACAGGTCCCACCCCAGGAGGAAACCCACAAACTCAGCTTCTCTCCTGCAGAACAAGAACTTTTCTGGTTTCAGCGTGATACCTGTGCGAGAGCAGTTCTCCAGAAAATCGTAAGTGTGCCAGAACGCCCCCTTCACACTGGAGTCATAGAGGAGAGTGTCATCCATGCACTTGTACTTGCAGGGCACATCCTGAATAGCGTCGTCAAACCTCTTGGTGTAAGCATCTGACGCTGAGCAATGTCCCATGGGCGTCCTGCAGTATCGAAAACGGCCCCACGGTGTGATGAATGTGGTCAGACGTCTACTCTCCTCCTCCAACTCCACTTGATGAAATCCCCAAAAGGTGTCGGCGACGGTTTTGAACGAGTGCACTGGCACCCCAGACACCATGTCGAATGGTGCAGGTGTGTGGTGCGTCTCCCTCAGACAGCTTGCATTGAGGCGTTGGAAGTCCACAGTGCGCCTGGGTTGACCGTTTTTCTTGGCCACCACGACCATCCTGGCGCACCACTCCGTAGCCTCACCAGCAGGCACTGGCTGGATGACGCCTCTCCTGACGTCCTCCTCCAACTGGGCCTTCACCTCCGCATCCCAGTGTTTCGGAACGGGAGCAGGTGTGTGACAGGCGTAGGGGGTTGTGCCGGGCGTCAGGTGGATACGGTGAGGGGGACCAGTCATGACTGGCAGTGGGGACCTGCTGGTGTTGAATGCGGTAGACGAAAAGTGCGTGAGTAGCCATGCCTCCAGCCTGGCCACATTCTCCTCCAAAGGAGGCAAGGGTATCTCAACTGGCCTCGGCGGGAAACGGCTGCTCTCAGGTAAAGGGTTCGGAGGTAGATCGTCGGCAGTGTGCCGCTCCCCTCCATCGCTTACGGCAGCCACAGCACGCCTATGGAGCGGGAAGTCGACAGGCACCAAGTTGAGGCACTTGCAGGCCTCCAATGACAGATAGAGGGCCTTGGCTGTCTGCACGAAGTAGATCTCCTGGACGGTGGACCCCTCGTCCACACCGAGGCGGCAGGGGGCGGACCCCAGACACTTGAGCTGTTTGTTTGCCACGTCCCTTAGGCCATTACGGGCCCGAAGTTGCCCCGGACACAAACCGATGTCCCGGAGCAGGGATGCGCCTGCCACACACACCATAGCACCCGTGTCAGCTACAGCCAGCACAGGGGTGGCGGGGGAATTGCCCCCGGCCTGGGACACGAACACTTGTAACCTGGGGTGGCGGGATAGCTGGGCTGTTGCCACTGTAACAGCGCCTGACACATCCACAGGAGCACTTAGGGCTGACTTACTCCTCCAACACCTTTTGAAGTGACCAACCTTACAGCAATTGCGACATGTAGCCCCACTTGCAGGGCAGTTACTTTTACCAGAAGCATGTGACATGCCGCAGTTACCACAGTGCACGCGATTGGGGTGTCCAGGTCGGGCGGCAGCTACCTCGGACTCACCGGTGACGTCATCACCAACCGCCACTGCCTCCGCGGCTGTTCCCACCACTGCCTGGCCAGACGTACGACACAATACACCAGCATCTCTCACTACTGCCTCAAATAACATGCATTTGTTTCTAAGCACTTCAACACTATTATAACTAGAGTACCCCTGGAAAATTTCCCTTTTCAACACTGGGTTACTCAGGCCCACCATAACTTTACGTAATAGCATGCACTCAGAGAGGTCGTTATCAAAGGTGGGACATTTAAATTCACACTCCACTGCCTCTGCGAAGCATCGTTGAAAATACCTTTTCATGGGCTCCTCTTCACCTTGTTTGCTGTTGAAAAACTCGTTCCATTTCACAGCTTGGTTTGAAGATTGAAGAACCATTCCACTGATGGCGTCCAGGGCTTCTTTGGGCGAGAGCTGCTCCCACTGACCGCTGGGGTATCTCGAGTCAATCACCCTTTGGAGTGCAGGGACGCAGTTCAGGCGAATGTGGAGTGTGGCCACCAGTTGTGACCACCCGTTCAACAGCACCCATGACTCCATGGACCGCCTCCATGTCCTAAATGCAGCTGCTGGCATTTCTGCCTCACACTTCTCTGGTGCGACAGCTGCTGCGGGCTTCATGACCGGCATAGAAGCATGACCACCGCCAGCAACTAGAGACGCCATCTGAGCCATCAATGCACTCATGGCCTGCTCCTGGGCGCGCGTGGTGTTCCCCGCCGGTGTAGAGAAGCCCTGGCGTCCCCTTGAGGGCGTCGAGAATCGTGGACGTGTAGGGGCCATGTCAGCGTTCTTGTCAGGGCTGTAATGGCATGTCGGGCCCCGACATATCCTACTCACTGCGCCATGTGAGAGGTTGGATTCATAGACCACGTTCTTTGTAGACTTTATTCTAACAGCGTCAGCTGGTGACTGGCAACCGGGTGCTGCCAAAGGCAAGCCCCCATCTCAACATGGGAAAACATATCGTACGATGGTACAATCTTACAATATCTAAGAATAAGAATATTGTACTACGGTATATACATACAGTATACAAAAAATACTGTATACTTAAGCAAGCTAGTTAGATGTTTTTCATGCACTGTGATATTATCACACCAAGGCTTTGTGCTGTGCCAGGGCAGCAGTTAAACATAGTATTTAGTAGAGAGGATTAGAAAGACCCAAGCAGCAATGAAACCATTTCTATATATTTTATTAAAATTATTCACAATAAACAAAATTTATTATATATCACAATACTGTATATATTATATGTACTTGGAAGCAACATCAATTTGTGATGCTGGAGAACTAATCTATTTATTGTTTAGTTCTATTAAGTAGGACAGAGAACATTCTCACTCCATAATTACACCACTGTACTGATACAGTACATGAATTGAATATGAAGAAAAATATTAATACTGTAATGGGCAAATAAATAATTCAATCTACATAAACATTAAGTGAAAAATGTTGTATGCTATAGTAAGAAAGTGTTCTTAAATGTAGAACCTTTCATTAAGGAAATACATTAAACTGCAATACTATATTTATTCTTCAAAGCACACTGTACCTAATAAGAAAATTCCAAAGCCTACATTCAAGATAATTTGTATAACTTTCAGAAACCTAATTTATCTATTCAAAATAAGATGCAACATATGACACACATACTGTACACAAAATTTTCTTTTACAAAACCCTAATCTTAATTACAAAATTAATTTAAAATCATACCTGTAACTAATTCATATCCAGTACTTACTGAAGAAACAGGTAATCAAAGATTACAAGATTGACCCTGACATCTCATTTTCTACTGGCCACTGGGGTGGTTGGTCTGTTTGAGAGAGATGTGCATTACGAGCACAGCTGTACCCCGAAAACTGACATCCTGTTGACTGCAAATTTGCATAACCAACAATTACAGAAAAAGGGAAATACTGTACACTGCAAATTATGTTGATACTCCGGAGATCTGACGATCAGGAGAGGAGCAGCAAAGCTGTTTTGAATTTGGTGGGTGGTGACATGGTGCTAATTCTTGCCACCAGAGGGCTCTGTGCACTACCCTGACACATTCCCACCATCAATGTTCTTATGTTCTTACTATGTGTCTCTGACTTTTTGTTGTTGTTGTTGCTATTTTCGACTTAGTGTGTTACTCAATCATGCCTAAATGCCCCACTGATCGTTCCTCTTGTGCTGGGCAGCCTGATGTAATGTAATAAAGCTTAATAAGGCCTAATAAGAGTGGTGATGGACTAGCAAAGAGTGGTCAGGACTTGAACTTGTTACCCTAGACCAACTCTACCATCCTCAACACAGGTAAATAACAGTCTCAATTTATGCTTTACATTGCTTATTTAAGGCTTACCCGGTATTATGAATGTTTTATATGTCTGCTTTATTGTCTTTCTTTACACTGTGCAATACAGAGATATATCAAGGGTACATAGGAGTTTTTGGACGGTGGCCGATCCCTAACCGCATTGATTCACTAACCAAAGACCTTTCCCAGTCCCTATATGCATTGGCTATTGGGGTACACCTGTACCCCCAGGCTGAGTACTATGGGACTGGTCTCCCTATCATCCCCCCAAAATAATCCAGGGTTGCTCTGCTCACTCATTTTGGATTAAGGACATACAGTAGAAACAGTGAGATTAGTTATCTCTTCATCGCTTTAGCTTACTTCATGGTCTGCCACTTTACAGACTGCCTGAGACAATGTCTGCACACTGTAATTCAGTTGATGGACCTACTCACTACAGCCTCTACTACTGTACATATTTGTACTTTTGAAGTTTAGCTTTTCAATACCAACTATGTACAGTATATAGTATCCATAAATTAACTCCAAGGAACCCTGACTTGAGAGACGGACTAAATTCCTGAAATTCCTATAAAACACCAAACATCACAGGTTTTTTCCAGGTACTCCGGTTTCTTCCTGTACAGTACTAACACTGGACAGTAAAGTTCATAACAAAAGTAGCAAAGACCCAACCAACCCCTCCAACAGCTAGTAAGATGATAAGTGGTGAAATGATAAACTAAAATTCTAATTAAATTTGTACCATCCTGTGTGAAATTCTGTTGAAATCTGACAGAATTTTAATTTGTACATACATTAACTCTGATTGCAAATTAAGATAGACAGACACACACAAACCATATGTTCTGCCCCCTCCCCTCTTGATGTACCAGAGAATTCATCAGGGAAAAATCCACATACGTACAGTATACTATACAGTATAAGCCAATGTTACTGCATGCCCCTAAATGTGTAATATTTTCTGAATTGACAAGTAAAGATAAATCAATCTTGTTTTTGTTTTCCAACTAACCCTGATTTTATAGTCTACAGGTTATCACTGAGTGTGACCTGTGGCACCTACCCTGAAGCACCATCAGTTGCACCTACCATGAAACACCACCTGAAGTACCTACCTACCTACCCTGAAGCACCACTAGAAGTACATACCTACCCTGAAGCACCACCAGAAGTACCTACCTACCCTGAAGCACCACTAGAAGTACATACCTACCCTGAAGCACCACCTGAAGTACCTACCTACCCTGAAGCACCACCAGAAGTACATACCTACCCTGAAGCACCACCAGAAGTACATACCTACCCTGAAGCACCACCAGAAGTACATACCTACCCTGAAGCACCACCAGAAGTACATACCTACCCTGAAGCACCACCAGAAGTAGTTACCTACTCTGAATCACCACCTGACTAGGCCACCCCAGCTTGACATGCTCCAGGGCTTGGTTTACCTGTCCATTTAGATTAATGTAAATCTGACAAACAACTCCACAGCCAGTGAATTAGTGTTGATAGAAAGCTTGAAGTCCCTCAGACAGTGGTTGCTTCAATAATTTGTAAGGCTTCAAGATTAACCCCAAGTGGACATATCCCACAATAACTATGGTATAGAGCAGGGGTTCTCAACCAGGGGGGAATTTCCCCCCTCAGGGGGGGAAACTGATACTAATATGGAAAAAATAAAGGATTTTCAGTATTATATGCATATTATTTGGAATGCACTTTTTGAGGCAGACAATCTTGGAAAGGAGGGGGAATGACATTCTGACATACGGTGAAAGGGGTGCATGGGGCAAACAAGGTTGAGAACCACTGGTATAGAGGGTCACACGGGTCTGGACATATCCTGCAACTGTTACAATGTAGTACAGTATTAGGATATATTTCTCACAGGCCTAATTTAAATCTCCCATGTTCTGTATTTATTAAGTATCTTTGTGGAGGCTTCAAGCAACTGCCCTGAGGTTATGTAGGTCTCTTACCCATTAGTAATGGATGGGTCATGGTCGAGCCAAGATGCACTGCATCTGCTCGAGTACGGTGCCTCATGAAGGAGGAAATTTATCCCATTACATTTGATTCTGGAGACAAGGATGCATAATGATGGTTATAAAGGTGACAATGGTAACATTCCTCAAGACATAACTTGTGAATCTTGGGAAAATTCGAATAATGAGGCTGAAGAATATGTTGGTGGTGGTGAGGTAGCTTCCACAAGTCAAATGTTCACCTATGAGACTCTCACATGGGATTGAAGAGACTCATTCTCTAGTATTTCCCCACCCAGTGGGTATTGATCACAAGTTGCCATCACCATCCCCCAAAGGGTTGTTGGGCTTTAAGCTTTGAGATAGGTTACTTCTTGTCTTGAAGTCCTCATCTATAAATATATGTTCATGATTCAGCCTGGCAGAGATAATATGCTTCCTTTTGTCACCTAGACACATACTTTACAGTATCTGGTTGGAATATTCTGGAGGAACATCCCATCAATATACAGTTTTTGCTGACTACATTCTAGTAGGGAGAAGTAACCTATCACAGGGCTTTGGTTTATGTAATCATTAAACCTCACAAGTTTCTGAAGCAGCCATCATTGCAGGGGTTTGAAGCCTTACTTAAGCATAGGTCAACTGGGAGTGGACTGGAGAGGAGCTGTCTATAGGAATTTATACAGATCCAAATACTGTAAACATGATGCTGGAGCATGTCAAGCTCCCTGGTTAGGGTAGGCCAGTATGGGGGAGCTCAAAGGGAAGTACTGTATCTCAAGTAACTTTCTTATGATCTGCAGGCTATAGAATAATATTTTATCCTCTCGCTCTCCTTTTTTTTAATTAGAAAAAACGGCTGAGTTACCACACCTAATCATTAGGAATCATTTACAGCTAGTACACATACCTGTACTGTACTACATTCAGAACATATCCATCATACATCTTTTATTCCAAGAGAAACAAACCCCTCCTTATCATTCCAAACAAACATTCTCTGGCTCATTGACAGAAATCGGCATATCACACTGATAATAACCAAATGCAGTTCAGCTATACAACAGCCACAAGAATAATTTTTTCTAAATATCTAATTAACCAGGAAAATGTCAAGAGATATCATACTATAATCCTGAGTATAAAGTTCAGGTATACTTTATCAATTATAAAAAAAAAAAGTGCAACTTCCGAGGTTCAATCTAAGTTCCATCCAAGTGAGAATTGGCATTAACAGTTATTTAATGACCCACCAACTGGCAATGACAGTCAGTTAACAACCCACCAACTGACAATGACAGTCAGTTAACAACCCACCAACTGACTCTGACAGTCATTTAGTGGCCCACCAACTGGCACTGACAGTCATTTAGCAGCCCACCAACTCAAGCATAACTTTCATAAATCTGAAGTTTTAAACATGGCAAGGTACAAGGATGGCTGAAAATACAATAGTATATAAAGGAAAGTGATGATATAGTGGATCCTGACCAAAAACTATAAGTATCACTGAAGACATAGGACCACTATGGTATGTAGAGGTCACTAACAAACTATATTTTTTCTTGGAATTTGCTGAGGGCAAATTTTGTTTGATTATTTTATGATTAACACATTAACGTTCTCGCTTATATTCTAAAACTCCTCACGGTCTCATGAATAAGCGTTGTTTACGTTGACTTTTCTCTCATTTTCTTCTGATGTACTTATTTCCATCACTTCCTTGAGTAACCTTACATGTTCCAGTTCACTGTTAATTTGTTGGATAATAAACTGTCAATACTTTAAGAGAATAAGTAAAAAACATTCTGACTTTGTGGATGTTGAAAACAAATGTAAGTTTCCTCATTATAAAGATAGTACGTATTGAGAAAATTATCCATTGTTTATTCAGGCTTAGAGGTGTCGTCCATGTGGTTTTTCAAGCCAGAATCAATGATGAAGGGCTGACCATTACTGTGGTTAGTGTTAACAAGGTGACCATTACTGTGGTTAGTGTTGCTAAGGTAACCATTACTATGGCAACCATTACCAAAGTGACCATTACCGTGTTTAGTGTTAGCAAGGTGACCATTGGTGTGATTATTGTTACCAAGGTGACCATTACTATGACAACCATTACCAAGGTGACCATTACTATGGCAGCCATTACCAAGGTGACCATTACTGTGGTTAGTACTACCATTCACTGCAGGAACCACTGGGTCTGCCAAAAAAGTCAGTAAAAGTGAAGAGAAATATTAGTAATGGACAGTAAAGGAAAGGCTGCATAAAGACCCCACATGTATGCTTCTTCCTTTATATGACATTAAATTTTACTCTTGTTTCATTTTATAAAATTATAATAGCAGATAAAAACAGATCAAGAAGCTAGTTTATCTATTCAACCTCTAGACCAGATATTATTTTAAGAAACACATAATACATCTACTCATACCATCAGTTTAAAAAGGGGTGTAATTATTCTTGACATTCCTCTATTACCATTTTCAAAGTTTGCCTGAGATTTCACAGAGGAACTTTTGAACTAGTGTGTGTGTGTCGTGTCAAAGAATGGTGTATGATGTCAGGCATAATCTGGGATACTATTATTATTTCACAAGATACAACCATCTGTCTAATGTCATAGTGGTAACTTTGCCATTGTGACTCAACTGCAGTCAAGGACACTGAACTTTTTTTTTTTCCAATTGGATGCATAAAGAGTCAGCACACAACTGGGTCATTGGGAAAAAAGGTTTGTGAGTTATGTCTTATACTTAGGACCACTTCAACCAAAATCAACAAAGAGAGTTATCTTTAGCCACGCTGGACCATGTAACTGCTCTCTACAATTTGCTAGTTCTGACACCGACATCCCCACAAGCAATAGAGCACTTATGGGTCTATACTAGCCATCTCTGCTATTCTCTTTCTAACATAAATTACCTTGGAACAATTACTAGCAATGCACTGTATACAGATTTCACTATAGGGCCATGCATTTGTTTTAATTTTCTGCATTAGCAGGTGATGTCACAAGTACTTCCCATTTCTCCATTATAGACGCAGTTAAAGGATCATCCCAAGAGTGATTACTGAGCTTCCATGCCTCTTGCATTAACATCTTGAAAGTGATGGTAACAAGAGACAGTAGCCTTGAAGGATCCAATAGTCTTCTACAATTGCTGAGCAATAACCTCCTGGAGTGTATAGGACTCCAAACTACAGAATGTAGCATAATGTGGTCAGTGATATAATTCCACTTTAACTCCAACAACATAATAGAAGCACTATCCTCTTTATATTCTTTGGGCCAATTTCAATTCCAGCTATTGGAAAGTTCCAGGGATTCGGGCTAACAGAGAGATTACTGTATACATGGGTACCTAACTTTACTATGAGGAGAAGTGAAGACAAGTTGAGTGTAATGTTGGCCATCCAAGCTGCCTCCTTCTGTATCAAAGGCTTAGTACACAATGTGCTATATCTACACAGTTCCTAATGGTCAGTCATGCCTATGGGATCTATCTTCGCCCTATCTAACATGCCCTACTGCTGCTGTTATAGAACATCTTTACTACATCAAGTAATTTTCTCCCTACTCTATTCTTCATCGCTTTCTACAGTACCTCTTGATCCACCCCACCATATGCCTTGCCCAGATCAATTAATGTTTAGATTTTTTTTAGTTATTTTAAATCATGGCATTTGGTTTACTCAACCCATACCTCCTCTGAATCCTCTGTACTCATCACTTGCCCCACAGTCTTTCATCTTCCTGCCCCTAACAACTACAAACATGTCACATACTTTTCTTGGTATAATCTGTAGGGTGATTCCTCTGTAGTTTCTGCACTCTTCATTATTTCCTTTCCTCTTACCCAAGGGTATTACTATGATCTTCAACCACACATATTATAACTCTGTTGTTATCCATGTTATTTCAAATACTACTTACTGCCATATCGACTATTTTTTGTTTAATATCTCTGACTTACTACCATCCATTTCCTGAACTTCCCTTATTGTAAGTTGCAAATTGGTGCTTTTATCTCTTTAGATACTGTATATCCATCTATATGGATATCCTGTCTCTTTCCTCCAACAGGAAATATTTGCTGCTTTCCCATTACCAGGCATCCTTAAATCCTCAAATTTTCCTTCCACCTACTTACTATCTCTCTTGTTTCCATCAATGTACTTTCTTCTATATTTCTCATTTTGCTGTTCATACTCTTTACCCCTTTATTTTCTTTATATCAGCAAAGCAATTTCATATCACTATGACTAAACTTCCTTCCCAGTGCTACAGCTTTTCCTTTCCTAGAATCCTGCATCAATTTCATCATTTTATTTTCCTTTCTGTACTGTATTCCTGTTTCCTCCTCTTCTGTCCCTCTACTATTACATATTATTTTCTACAAGCTAATTTCTTCACAAACTGCTAATATGAAAATAATACTAGTATAACTTCTTTCTTGTTAAAATGGAGTTGGCAACAGACTGAGGCACAGAGCTTGTGGTATTGTGGTGTTGGGTGTTCAACAGAAGGCAGAAGAAGTACGGAAGTGAATAGAATCTTTTTTATAAACTCCTTTGTAACCGATGCTTTCAATAAGTGGTAAATACAGCACATTTCAAACTTTATTTACAGTAACTTGAGTTTGAAAGGTTTTGGTGAAATTTCTGTCCTTAGCTAAAAAATAGCTGTGCTAACAAGAATTGGGAATCAACCAGGCCAAATTATATATACTGTACTGTATACAGTACAGTTATATAAAAAATAAAAATATCAGTCAAATTGTTTCCATAAGAGGATATAGTTGAGTACAGTATTAGGTCAGTGATTAAGTATTTCATGTATTACTGTGATTAGAATATTATCCTGTAAAGGAAGAAAATCAAAGGAAGTATTTACCTGTATATTTGCACAACTTATGTAACCTGTATTCATAGTAAATTTGTTTAGTGTAGAAATTACAACTCAAAGCAGTTCACAAAATCTTTCCTCTTAGAAAATTAAATCAAGAAATTAAACAGTCAATGTAACAAATGAAAGTTGAATTGAAAATTCCACATAACGGTTATGGGGAATATATCAACAACTTGGAAGAAGTATGAAGGCATCATCTAAAATCAGGATGAGCCTGAGTCATAACTAAGTTGGAGAAGACTTGGTCTTCTATAAGCAACAAATCTTACACACGTAGTTCTTCCAGTCTTAACTCTTTCAAAGTTCACTCTGACCAAATCTTTGTAAATACTGTGCAGTTGTCTGAACAAAATGAATACTATAGCAATGACATATGTGAATAAAATATCAGCCTTGACACTGAAGCATGTGAAAAAGCAATTTGATAACAAAATGCCTAAGAGACTGTAGTGTCCACCCAGGCTGGCATACAAGTGACTTAATGTCCACCTGGGTTGCCATACAAGTGGCTTTAATGTCCACTGGGCTGGCATGCACTGATGTTGGATATAATTTTCAAAGTGGATCATCCTTGGAAAAAGCTAACAACCTTTCAGCAAAACTGTAGATGAATATGTACCTTAGTCAAAAATTCTGTAATTACTTTTTCTCTTTTAATAATGACAATCATCTTGGATGACATATGTGAATGACCTGTACTTTTGAAAGGTGATCCCAGAACACTTCTGGAGAGTGTTAGCATAACTGAGACAGTAGGTATTAAGAGTCTAAAATATTAGATGTGGATGGATGGCATTGAACAGATAGATGGATGGAGAGGAAGGCAAGAGATAACAGACCTCAGCAACAGTTCACCCAGAAGGACTATAAATCAAAATTTTCTTTTGTCATCACCATCATGAACATTTTATGGCCATTTTTTCCATGCTTTCATGGATTAGCTGCAATTATCTGATAGCAACTGTTGGGTAAAATGAGAAAAGGAGGTTTCCCTCCCACCCCACTACAAACCAAGGTCACCAGCCCAGAAAATGCAGCAGAGACCAGGGGATGGTCACAACTTTGGTGACCTGGTTACCATCAGGCAAGTTGAAGCAAATACTATTTACAACTGGATGCCCTTGCTAATACCAACCCACAGGACTGGAACAGCTGAGAAGGCAGGGTCACAACTCCTTGTTTGAAATTCTGATAATGAGTCTGGTGCTTATCATGAACTTGAGTGGTCTCCAGTTATCTTGAATACGTACATGTAAATCATTTGTTTCGTTTATTCTACTGAATTATGTGCCTAAACTTAGGAAGATGTAATAGTTATCTGCTAGATTTCCAATAAGGATAAGACTGTGTGAACTGACTTGTGATATCATCATAAAATACAGCAAATTACCATTACCACTAAGCAAAATAAAATTTAAGTTAATGCAACAGCAATCACAAATAACTAAAATATTTTTATAACTAGACCTACTTGAAAAATGCTTATGGGACATACATTTTAGAAAACTGTGCAGCTCCAACGGTGACGAGGCAATCTTGATGTCTGCATTAAGGGACAACAGTCCTTTTTTCACACCTGACGTAACATTTGTGAAGACCAAAGTTTGTTGCCGTTTCTCAAAGTCCAAACAAAGAGACTTGATCCCCTAAAATAAAGACAAAGTATTAATAAAACATGTGATGATGGATCCTGCACTGTACTAATCTCTGTTATCAAGATTATATAATAAAACATCATAAATCTATACAAACTCATCTACTTGTCACAAGTTTCTATATACTATACATGCAAAGATCTGTGGTATCAAGAGGGATGTAAGTATGAAGAATGGGAAAAGGGGATAAAATATGTTGTAATTAAAACCCAAATCAATATATAAGATTAAGAGCATGACAAGACTATGACTATGGAACATAGGCAACAAAACTTTCATAAAAACTGCTGTCTTTGGGGAAGGTTTGATATGAATGAGAGAGTATTATGATGTATACCTGAAAAATGATAGACAAGAGAAAAAGACTGAACAAAAGATTTCATTATTACCTTTACTGCTGTGAAATCTACTGCAGTAAAGTGACTACAGTCCACAACCACCATCATATTTCCTTGGGCTGTGATTAGTCCTGCTTTGCTCACTTCTGCTCTCAAGTAGTCCACTGATGGGAAGAAGAGACCACTATGGGGCTCCACCAGCACATAAGCGGGTTCATCTCCATCCTGTTAAATAAACATGATCAAAATCTTTTAAGGATACTTTACTTACAAAAGGAATCATAGTGTAGTACAGTATATAAATATTTTAAACATGTCCTACTAGCTCTTTCTTTCAGTTTAAAATTTGTTCTGCCTTAATCTTATTTTCTATAGAGTAAAGCTAAGAGAGCAACTGTGTCAAAATATCATGCTATTCACAATAATTATTTTCTTTAACAGGGAATCACCCACCATCCAGAAAGGACAAGGCCACAAGAGATGTTGGTGTACTACAGCATGTCAAGGAATGCGGGACAGTAACCAGCAATGATGAGGTAATGAAATGGGATCATCTAAATCTAATTGGTGTGATTTAGTAGCACAAAACAAAAACAAGCTGACAGTAGGAGTGTGCTATAGAGCTGACTCTGCATCAGAGGGGGAGTGGCATATCTTCACATAGTCACTCTGACAGCATCCAGAGCACAAGCTCTCACCATGGGAAGTTTTAATCAAGAGATGATAGACTAGGTGAATCTTACTACTAAAGCTGAGGGAGAAGAATTCCTTGACCTCATTCATGACTCATACAACACATTATGAAACCCAAAAGGGGAGACAGCACTATGGATTTGGTCTTGATGACTGAGAAGGCAATGGTGGATGAGGTCCACATTGGGAAAAAAATAACTTCAGCCAGTGACATACTAAGGTGGAATGAAATCTTTGAAAGCTGGGATAGAGTAGTTGAGGAGGAATACTAGGACTTCAACCATGGAGATTACCAACTCATGAGACACAAACTACAGAGAATAATTAACTGGGGGATACTATTATAGAGGAATCCAACACAGATAAATCATGGCAAGAATTTATGAAAATCTTTGAGACAGCAGTCGAAGAATGTATACCCCAGAAATCAAAGAGAGGGAATAAGACCATCACTAGACATAGTGCAACAAGTAGGAACAGCAGTGAAAAAAGCCAACTAAGAATTAGGAACTGTAAGTTGTACCTTCAAATACAAAGATAAAAAAATGCTCCTTCAACTTTATGAGCATTTTGTACATCCCAGTCTAGATTAATGTATACAGGCAGGAAAACTTTCCCTCCAGAAAGACTGTGATGGCCTTAGGACTGACAACTCTTCAGACAAGATGCAATAGGGTAGTTCTCATAGAGATATTCAAAATCCCAAAAGGGATGGAAAATGTAAATCCAGGCCAATTTTTCATGATGTCACAGGCCATTAACATGAGAGGATGCAATTTCAAGCTTGCAAGGTGTTATAAACAGTAGGATAAATATAAGGAAATATTTCTTCATAAAGAGGGTGGTAGACCCACGGAACAATCTACCACTTCAAGCTGTGGAAGTGAGAGCCGAGAACAATACTGGGCTTCAAGATAGTCCTAGACTTTTAAGAACAATGGAGGGATCTTACACAGGCCACAAGACCCCTTCCCTTGGCATGACCACCTCTAGTTTGGGTGGCCATTAAGTAAATAGGATAATAAAGGAGACTCTGGTTACACTAATACTGACAGCTCGATATCGTGCACTGTACAGTAATTTGTTTGGGAAATTCAGAACATTTACTATATTGGAAATGTAATGAGAAATCTGAAGAGTATGTTAATGTCTTCCTTCTATAAATTGGCAAATATATTCTATCTCCCCCTAAGCTTGCTAGAATATGGACAAAAACTAGACAAATGCTGTCAATATTTCAAAACACACAATGGTCCTTGACACATTTTCAAGGTTCAAAATAAAAATGTCTATATTGTACAAGCCATAAATAAGTGAAGTTAATTTCTTATAGGATAGCAAGGAGTTAGGTTGTGTAGTTGGAACAGATGTATTTCCCCACCTTCATCCAAAATATTGTGATTAACACAAAAATAAATACTTCTCCAGGCAAGAAAACATTCACCTCCCATATAAAATGGCCTCATCTATACTAAGTCAAGTGTACTGCAGCTTTATTCCATTTAAAATGAATTAAGGAGGCCTCAGCAATGCCATACAGCTGGACAACCATTTATTGGTACTAGCTGTCTTGGCAAGGTGGTCAACATTTTAACCATTTTCTGGATATTCAGTGACAAATCCTTCCTCTTACCATTTCTTGCTTGGGCCTATTGAGATTACAGCATGATGTGTTGGGCAAAAAGGAGTCAACACCTTCCAAAACAAGGCAAACGCTGGGCAATAAACTTAGTGTACACTACTGACACAGAGGTGGCACGGTGACTGTGCAGATGAAGAAATGTGAACAAGTGACACCTGCTTTTATGAATTCATGCAAGAGTCTTACATGATATATTTACGAGAATATATATCCTGGCGCAAGTCAGAAATTTATGAAGCCATATCAAATTACTGAAAAGAGAGTAAAAAGTAATACAGATGTTATTAGAAGATTTACAAAACATAAGTGTGAGAGTCGCACATTTGCTGTAGACTGCTAAGTTGTCTGTGCAATTTTATTATTTAGAGTATTCACAACCACAGTTCATATTACAGGGGGTCCCTGACTTATGAACGCCCGCCAATGCAAACGAGGTTAAACTTTAAATTAACAGCATTTTAATTACCTGATGACTTAATTTTTACTTTCATTTACTGAATTTTGTAATCCTATTTCTTCTTTTCTCTTAAATTAAGTGATTTTAGATGTATATAAGGACTTAGGCTATGATATAGCGGAATTTTAGACACTGTTCTGTAAGTACAGTACGGTATGCACATAGCAAGTGTTTCGACTTACGTACATTTTCGACTTAAGAATGTCCTCAGGAACAAATCCCGTTCATAACCCAGGGACCGCCTGTAATACTATTTAGTTCAAATGGAATGCAGAATTGAAAACACTAATAAATTTTTAATTGGCACAAACTGTACATGCAAAATTGTAATGTCTGAAAACAGCACTACAAACATAAATCACCTGTAGTGGGAAGGGCATGAAGGATGAAGGAAATAGCATAATTTTAGAATGATGTCTCTACATGCTTTGTACGCAAAGAAATTAATTATTTACCGTAAATACTCCTATGAAAAATCTACCTCAATCAGTGTGTGCTGTCGTCTGATGTGTTTGTTTACAGCCGACTCGCTCGGTCCGAGTTTACTCTCACGTCCATAAAAAACATAAAATGACACCATAATGCTTCAACAATGTTGCTTTTATTGGTGCCAGATATTAAAATAAGTATTTTGTTTAATATGACGGGTCTCCCCAAGCTAGGAAGTTAGGTAGGTTTCTTTGGTATGGTTGGTAAGTTCAGGTTCTATTAAGTTCTAGTAAATGTTGCCTCTCTTAAAATATTTGCTATAATAATAGGAACATATTGCGAAATAATGAAAAAAATATGTAAACTATTTCTGGTGTTAGTACTGTTTTCAGACATTACTGCAAGAGTTTACCATAATGTGAGTGCCTTAAACAATTAAGTGAACGTGATTCATTTAAAAACAGATTGATTGTGCTCGGTATGTTGAGGATCTGATATCTTTAGTGTACTGCTGTTATAAAACTCCATGTTGTGGTATTATTTTCACGTAGAATTCACTGTCCTGTACAATATTTGTAGCTGTAGCTCTGTAAGTTCTTTTTTATCCTTTGATTATAAATTTGACTGACTTCAGTTTCATTGTATGCACCTGAGAAGTTTCAATTAATATCTGATAAATAAAAACCTTTCTTCTAAAAAATTAGTAAGGAATTTTGAAGTAATCACCTGTATCTTGGTAACATTAACATCAACTTTTGGTCGTGCAATACCATAGAGGAGGATAGACAGGTTGATGAGCACCCCCACCAGGATGCCATACTCAAGCTTCCAAAAGAGACAGGTGAGGAAAGACCCCCACAGAGGCAGCTGGTCAATGCGTCTTGCCTTCCAAATTGGAATGACCATTTCATACTCCACCATGAATATCACAGCACAGATTATGACAGCAGAGAGGGATGCCTTAGGAATGTATCTGGAAAATTGTTTAATGCAGTAAACTAATACAGTAGGTAGTGTGGTGAATACAATACTAGAAGGCACTTATGTGCATTACATCTCCTGGTCATGATTAAGCTTACCGGTAAATAGATTTTAATGTATATCACAGTTCAGTACTACTTGATAATTATTTAGAGTATTTAGAGGGTCTTTATATTAAATTATATACAGTATATATAAAATGTATCTATAATTAACTATTTTAAGTATATACAGAACATACCCGGTAATTGAACTTTAGTAAATCTGAAAGCAAAAATCATATACAGTATGATTTAATTTTCAAGGAGGAAAAAATTTAATGTTTAGTGAAACACTTTCATACTTCCTCACACATGAAATCACACAAAGAAATGTTCATAACTACAGATGAGTTTATTCTACATAGCTTCAGTCACACAGTGTAAAATATAATATTATTTTCAATGTAAACTGTCTTTATTTATTACTATATGAATGGTAAGTTGTGAGATGTTTATGATATGAATGGTAAGTTGCGAGGTGTTTATGATATGAATGGTAAGTTGCGAGGTGTTTATGATATGAATGGTAAGTTGCGAGGTGTTTATGATATGAATGGTAAGTTGCGAGGTGTTTATGATATGAATGGCAAGTTGTGAGATGTTTATGATATGAATGGTAAGTTGTGAGATGTTTATGATATGAATGGTAAGTTGTGAGATGTTTATGATATGAATGGTAAGTTGCGAGGTGTTTATGATATGAATGGTAAGTTGTGAGATGTTTGTGATATGAATGGTAAGTTGCGAGGTGTTTATGATATGAATGGTAAGTTGCGAGGTGTTTATGATATGAATGGTAAGTTGCGAGGTGTTTATGATATGAATGGTAAGTTGCGAGGTGTTTATGATATGAATGGTAAGTTGTGAGATGTTTGTGATATGAATGGTAAGTTGCGAGATGTTTGTGATATGAATGGTAAGTTGTGAGGTGTTTATGATATGAATGGTAAGTTGCGAGGTGTTTATGATATGAATGGTAAGTTGTGAGATGTTTATGATATGAATGGTAAGTTGTGAGATGTTTGTGATATGAATGGTAAGTTGCGAGATGTTTGTGATATGAATGGTAAGTTGTGAGGTGTTTATGATATGAATGGTAAGTTGTGAGATGTTTGTGATATGAATGGTAAGTTGTGAGATGTTTGTGATATGAATGGTAAGTTGTGAGGTGTTTATGATATGAATGGTAAGTTGCGAGGTGTTTATGATATGAATGGTAAGTTGTGAGATGTTTATGATATGAATGGTAAGTTGTGAGATGTTTATGATATGAATGGTAAGTTGTGAGATGTTTATGATATGAATGGTAAGTTGTGAGATGTTTGTGATATGAATGGTAAGTTGTGAAGTGTGAAATAGAAGGCTGGGAACACATCCTCATAGTACAGTACTCATGTTATAAGCTATTCAATATATGAGCTTTCAATATACTGTACAAACAAAGGTTCAGGAAAGTATTGACTTCATATATCAAAGTATTAATGCTTTATGCAAGTATCATTATTATTATTACTACTATTGTTATTAGTAGGAGTTTCGTTAATGTAAATATTAGTACTGTACAGTAATACTGTATTATGATGATGATGATGATGATTATTATTACATACACACATGTAAAAATAATTATTTTGAACAGAGAAGAGACATTAAGTCAATACAATAACTACTGTATACCAACTTGAAGGAAGATGTAAGAAAAGCTAATGCCAACATAACCAGCACACCAGTTATGGCGCCTCCTGCTGTGGTCCTGACTCCACTGGTGGAATTAACAGCAGTTCGGGAGAATGACCCAGTCACTGGCATTGACTGAAGAAATGACCCAAGGAAGTTGCATAATCCTAAGGCAAACATTTCCTGCAGAAGAGTAAACCAGCTTTAACAAAATAGAAAATACATTTACTTTACACAGTATATATTGCAAAATGTACAGGTGAGACTGATACATTGACATATAACTTCTCTACTATTGTATATGTTTTTTCCAATCTGATGCAGAGGGTGACTGGAATCAAATATAAGCGCAGCTGCCTCTTTACCTGTTGTCATCTCCTCACCTTAAAGGCTTTAACATTCTCATAAACTATTATTGCTTCATAGATGTCAATCACTCTCACTTCTAACAGGGTCTTCATCCCATCCTTCCCTCTTTGTCATGGTGTTCCCCTTTCTCTCCTTCTATCTCTCTCTTTATTCACTTCTCACTTCCCATTCCCCCCTAATGTCCATACTTCTTTTATTTCTGCATCACACACACATAGACATGATTCCTCTTTATATTCACAAATTTTGCTTCTTTTTTATAGTTCTCTCCCTCCAGACATTTCTCAGTCCACCTATGTTCTTTCTCTCTGCTACTCTTGTGATTCAATTTAGTATTCACTGTTTCTTTCCCTGACACATTCACTTCCTTGTACTTCCTCCATTCTATCACTATTCAAGCTAACATTCATTTCCCATTACTATATTCTTTCTCTGTTGAACATCCTCATTTGACTTCTCCTCTCACTCACTATTAGATTTCTCCTATTACAGTACACATACTTCCAAACTAGATCAATAATATTTGTAACTTTTTCTCTAAATTACATTCCCACTGCATCCTGAATCCTATTTACCAAATTTACTCTCATCTCTGTTACTCTTACTTTCACCACTCTTACTACATCATCCAAGAAAGTGTAAAGAACAACAACATGATCTGGACCTACTGTACTTTCTCTTGGAGCCAGTTTCCCTCTTCCCTGGTAATGACAATTAGTGGGAGGAGTTAAAATTTTTCCACTTATCACATACATTTTCAATTCCTCTATCATATATTCTTTTAGATAAATAAATGCCACAAATGAATCCTTTCCCCTTCTCTAAAAAGTCATTCATATTCCTAAGTGTAAAAATCCATTTCCTTCCCTGAACCTATACTGTTCTTCTCCTAATACACAGGCAATGAATTTATTAATTAAGTGTCCAAATGTCAGAAATCTCAAAACTCTGGTCATTTTACTCTGAGTACAGGGTCAGTGTGTAAAATTTGGTTGTGAGGAGACTGTAAATTTTCACTGTCTGGTGGTCACACAATGGGTCCAAACCAAACCTGTATACCTGGCAAGCAAGAGTCAAAGGCACCCACATGATCCACATCCATATTTGGGTGTTTATCATGACTTACATTATTATTTACATTTTAAAGATATGAAAAAATATAATCCTTGGCTTTAATATGGAAAAAAAAAGTCTTTCCTATTGTACCATCTATAAAAGTTAGTTATTGCAGGCTTTAGTTAATACTTCATCATAAATTTTAATGTACAGTACTCCAATCATGAAAGACTGATGTCTCCTAAGTTCTAACATGGAGTCCTAAATTTCCTTTCCATTTCCCTTTCATCAATTCTCCTTTCTAAATCTATTCACTATCACTCTGTCCATCACAATGAACCTTCAATGAGGTTATTCATATCTTCCCAATATTCTTTTCCCATCCATCCACCCTTACATAAACAGAGTATTGTACCTGTTGTGAGTGATCCTCCATCAATCAATCAGAGAATAACATTGTCCTCATATCTGAGGGCTGGTGACCACAGTCCCCCACTCTTAACATTCTTGGGCTGTTTTTACCAATCCTTCAAGGTTTTGTATCTCTCTGGGGACCCAGTTTTTAATTTCATTCATCCATCCAAGTCTCTACCTTCCCCTGGTCCTCCTACAGTCAACTTTGCCCATTAATATTTCTGTTATTATCCCCTCATCCTAATTATATGACCAAGGTATCTACTTTTTCTTTTTCTGTACATATCAAGTATTTCTCTTGAAGTTTTTGTTAATCTTAGTAAAGTACTTCTTCATTTGTTTTCCTGTCAACTTGTAAAGTAAAATGTCAGTCATGTTGGTGTTTTTCAACCTACTACCCCCTAACCCCTTAATTTCCACTAAATCAACTGTTATTATAATGCAATTTTCCATAATACGAAGTTGTTCAGGAACATGCCCACCACATTACAGGACAACTGACTGTACAATATTAGAAAACCAAAGTGAATGAAGGGCCTCTCACCTGTGTGGCATCAATAGTCTTGCCACCAGAAAAAGCACTGGCAATGGCAATGCTCTCCAGGATAGAAATCATGGGGATTATAATAACACCGGCTCCAACATTCTCCATCATGTAACTAAAGCTGTAATAAGTGCCGTTGATGGTCATGGAGAACGGTGGCAGCTGGAATGATGGTAAACCAGGCTTTATCTCTCCTGCAAAAGAAGTTCGTGGAATGAGAGTAAAGATAGTTATACAGTAATGTATAGTCATAATGTATACATTATAATACACAGTAGTGTGTAACAAATTTAACATAAACAAAGCCAATTTTTGACACTAGACAAAGGAAAAAGGAATTTATTTTTATGTAAAATTAGCACAAAGGTAAATATAAATAGTTATCATAATCAATGGGACTATGAAGTTGTTAGAGAGAGTGGTGAACTTATTTTTGTGCAATTGTTTTCCATATTACAGATATCATATATAAACAACATAATAACAATCACCATAAGCCCCCCCCCCAATATTCACCCCTCTCAGAACACCTAATTTACTGTAACAGTAATGTAGTTTTATATGTACGTACAGTATATTACTTCCAATATCTTACCTGTTAGGGTGAAGGGCTGATCATTATCAACACAATAGGCGATTAATAAGGCCGAAATCACAACTAAGGCATTACGACCCACAGATGTCAGAAAGGCTAGTTTTTTCAAAATTCTCTTCCCCTTACCATCAGTTGCCTTCACTTTCACAACTTTCAAGTCTTTTAATTTCTGAAATATAGCATCAATATTTATAACTTTTGCTGTCAAGTTAAGCTGCCAATGATACAAAGATGAGTTATGTTAATAGAAATATAGACATTAACAGGTGGTAAAATGAGAATAAGAAAGTCCTCAAAATTTTTTCCTCTATAAATTCTTATATGTATATTCCTGCATTAGTTCTTATACTGACATCTAAAGGCAGATTAGCTACAACTAGTCAGGGTAAACCAGACTGTCTATCTACACAGTGTAGCCCAGTACAGTTTTGTGTTGCACTGTATATTCATAACTACACATACAATAAATATAATTTCTTGTATGCTAAATCATCTCTTAACATCTTACTCAACCATTAGTACTGTATTACCCTCATTAGGAGCAAGACGACAATACAACATAGTCCAAGCGTCAAATCTTGCCATCTCATATCTTCAATATTTTCAAAAAGCTTTTCCCAAGTCTCTAAGACGCCTTCGCTCGAATATTTCAACCCAAATAGGCCCTTGATCTGGGAGGAAGCGATGGAGATGGCTGCTGCAGAGGTGAACCCACAGATCACTGGCTTTGATATGAAGTTGATAAGAAAACCTATAAATAGAAGAAAAGAGAAAAAATAGGGATATTTAAACATAATTATTGTTGATTTGAATATATCTTTCATACCCATGGATTTTATAAATGAATAATATGAGGGGTGGATTTGGGAATAATGTCCCCATTCTCAGACAAATTACTTATATATTTGATGCCAAGTTAAAATCAGGATTGTTATTAAAAACAGTTACTTTCTGGCAAATAACAATGGACTGAACTTAGAAATGCAATTCTATGACCTGTGATGTATGTGGGTCTGTCTCAAACATGACCCAAGACAATAAGCAACATCTGGCATTAGTCACCTCATATCTTTGGTATAATTTAACCAATAATAATCTAAAACTATGTGAAAACAATGACAATATTTTATCAACTCAAATGTACAGGGGTGACTTAATTGAAGTTTATAAACATCTCAGAGGGAACTACTCAGTTGAGTGTCCATACCTGGAGCTGGCAGATGCCCATCCCACAAGGGGTTACAGCTCAAGGCTGAGGAAGCCATGAGTTCAGAAAACTGCCAAGAAAAACATTTTCGAAGCGAGAGTTGTGAACCGTTGGAACAAGTGGTGTGATATCACTTGGTGTGAGCTCATTCAAGACCAGATTTGACCAACACTGGTGCAGGTACAAATACATTCTGGAGCCAGTACAGTACATGTCTAGTACTTGCCAACAGTGTGTAATAGACGTAACCGACTGGCCAAGCAGCTACCAAGCTGATCAGTTATGTACTTGGTCTTTTTTTATAATCTATTTAATGTAAAAGTAAACTGAATTTCTAACTCTTTTCACTTTTATTTCCTGCTTGTGATAGGAAGTAACTTAAAATAACAAACACAATAGATTATATGGCACAAGTTACTTTAAAACTAAAAGTACATTGTATAAACCTTTGTAAGCAACATACCATGACTAAGCATTCAGAAATATAATCTTATCAGGGTTCTTAAAATACTTTAGTTATGAATATGTCTGATTAATGTTAGTTTATATCAAGTGTGTACAATAACAAGCAACAAACATGTGATAGGTGTCAATTATGTACTGTACAGCATAAATCACATGAACATGATGATCAAATGTCCTGAGTTTTACATCGTAAATGGAAAACATTATCACAGGATTTTAAAGAAACAAATGATTGCTGATGACTTCTTCTTCTGAACTGGTGAAGAATTAAATTTCCTTTATATTGTAGATTGTTGAAGACTTGGTTTAGTAAGGTGACTGAACAAGGCACTTAGAAGGTGACTGAACAAGACACTCAGAATGTGACTGAATAAGGCACTTAGAAGATGATGCTTGGCTTAGTAAGGTAACTGAACAAGGCACTTAGAAGGTGACTGAACAAGGTACCTAGAAGGTGACTGAACAAGGCACTTAGAAGGTGACTGAATAAGGCACTTAGAAGATGACGCTTGGTTTAGTAAGGTAACTGAACAAGTCACTCAAAACATTTGTGGTTTCATAAGGTGACTAAACAAGGTACATGGAAGGTGACTGTTAGTTTAATAAAGTGATTGAACAAGGTACTTAGAATGTATTGGAGTGGTTTCCTACTGAGGTGAACTTCTTACATTCTCAAAGAAGTCTCTACCCTATATAGTTTGAGTCAGTAAGATTATTCTGTGCTTCGAGGAGAAGGGGTGTTCCAGACTGTTCAATGCAATAACTACAATAACTAAAAACTCAGGTAAAAAATATATGTTTATACTATATTCATTAATTACCCACAATTATATCTAAAGTATCCAGTTAAGAAACATCAGTTTAAAGTTCCATACCCAAGTTACACAATCCTGAGGCGAAAATTATGAGACCACTGAGGAAACACAACAACACAGCATTTTCAGGACCGCGCTGCCTGAGTACTCGTGAGTCATGATGGCCATAATAGCTGTGGGTCCAATGGTGATGTCCTTACAGCTGCCGAAAATCATGTACACGAAGCACCCCATGAGCCGGTACAGACCATACTGAGGGAGGGAGGAACTGTTAGTCAGTACTAAGTGAGAAGGAAATTAAGCTAGTTTGGGTATGTGACTGTGGAGGGAGAGACATTGCTGAAAAAAATTTGGGAGGAAGAAGGACTATTAAATATAGTGGGTGAGGAGTAAAACTGATAAAGACACTTCTAAAACTGAAACTGTTAGAACACAATAAATATGGAGGAAAGTGGTGATAGAGGCATGTAGTGAAGAGGAAGGAACTATTAGAACATACCATAAGAGGAGGTTGAGACTTTTAAACACAATGTAAGAGAGCGGATGGACACATAAAGATATACCAAGTGTACTGTAGATGCACTAAAAACTATTCTTTGTTCACTCCAAGCTTTCAAGAAGGCCAAATCAAAAACTTGTGATTGGTTGAGTCACTCTGGTTGTAGTATATGTATCAGGGTGGTGAAATAACAGCAAACACCACTGATAGTTTTAACCTTTTTCTTTTCACTTTAAGTTATCCACATTATCAAAATATTTCACATGCTGATATTTACCTCCCCAGCTTCAGATATTATTCTAGATCAACATTAAATTATTAATATTAATGTATTGTACTTGTAATTGCAGAATATAAAGAAAATATATTAAATACTGAAGAGCTCTAGCTTAACCCAATGCACTTCATTCCACTAACCAATCAGCTTCATTAATAAAATTTGCTCTAGGCTCTGGTCATAAGGATTATGTGAACAAAGTATAGTGAAATAAAATACTGTACAGTAAATCCTTTTAAATCCAGACCTATTGATGTACACACTGGCTATGGTTATCAAGAATATCAAGATATAAAGTAAATACAGGTACCACCAGAAACACATAACAATATGACTTCTGGTGTTTCCCAGAGTGGACACTAAACTGTTGTGTTTCCCAGGCGGCCAGAGAGCTAACACATTATACATCCACCTGTGTTCAAATTCTCCTAAAGAACCGTTGGCCGTTACACGTTTCTCTGCACATCAACCTCTCCTCCGACATTGTCCCACCTCCTTCCATTACTCTAGGTCCGAACACACTCCAGGTTGTAGATTCCCCGAAGCCCCTCGGCGTCACCATAGACAACAAACTAAATTGGAAACCACCACGTCAGTGAAGTTGTCAAATCCTCCAGTTTCGTCTCCACCTCCTCCCTGACTCAAGTCCCCCGGAGTTCCTGCACAGGAGCTCCTCAGTGTTTACACAACATTCATACTTCAAGCTCACCTATGCCTCCCCACCTGGTCTTCCTCCCTAAATGCCACCTAGCGTAAAGACCTAGAAAAAGGTCAAAAGAGGGCATGCAAGATTATTCTCTCCCTTCCTACTCCATATCAAGCGCTCAACACACTGACCCTTTCGACTCTCACTGACCATCCACGACCTCATCTGCAAATTTGGTAAGAAGCTTCTACACCATCCTCGACACGGCTCCTACTACCACCTGAGATCCCTAGTCCGAGAATTGCTGTTCGACACCACAACCGCATCCAGCCCATCGTTGCACGAACTGTTCGCTATAAGAACAGCCCAGTCCCAACCATTGTAAAATTATCAATAACTTGTAATAAACCAGTGTATTCACTCCCAGTAAACACAACTCCTTGCACTGTCACTATGTTGAAATGAACTGTAGTTTGAGCTTTCCCCATCTAGTTATTATATATCTTATTTGTGTCACTTATGTTACTTGTATATTATTTGTAATTCGAAACCCATTCCCCAAATATGTAACTGTATATTTTCAGCCTTCTGGCTGCCAAGCTCTTTCAATAAACCGTTAATTATTATTATTATTATTATTTTATTATTAATTGCCACCCGGCTAATTTAAGTGATTTTAAGTTTATTATTTGAATTCCTAAAACTCCAACAAATCATTTCATGCAATACATAAGATAAAATTATTACTGTCTACATGGTGAGATGGGGTTAAGTCCTACTTGTACCCCAACTGATGAAGTCTCTCAAAATGTTGTACAAAATGTCAAAAGACTGCATATGTGCCACCAGCAATTACATGCCAGAAGACCCTTTGTTGTCTCTGGGTAACTGCACTCAGGACCACTACATTTCTGCATGTTTATCTTACCTGACAGTCCTATCCACATGGGTCTCTCTGAACACAGGGGCCCATAAATCCAAACATAAAGAACAAAAAATTCATCAATCTGGACAACTGTCTAATGTGTGAATATTGCCAAGTCTGGATACTGTACAAGAAGTCTATACTGTACTTACGAGGTTTAACTGTAAGCATAATACTAAATAATAAAGGTTATGGGAAATATAACATACTGGTCAAAATAAAATAAAAATATGTTAACAGGTTGCACTCAAAGTTAAAATAAGACAGGGAAATAGAATTATAATTACGCAAGATGATAAGTGTGCCCATAGTAACAATCTGGGCTTACTCAGGAGCATCACCAAAGAAATCAGCTTGTATGTAATGGTTACTGTGACTACTATTTATGCCATTCGATAAACCCACTGAATATAAGGTGAAAACTTCATGGAATTAACTTAAAACACATTACTGGATTGTCTCCAAAAGTGACATACATTAGCAGGAAGGCCGGCAACAGCAGCATAAGCTATGCCTTGTGGGATGACGGTAAGGCCGACAGTGAAGCCAGCCATCACATCGCCTCCCAGATACTCCAGTTTGTAATTGGGAAGCCATTTTGTGATTGGTATTCGCTTAAGTAAAGTCTCCTTGCTGAAGGTACGTCTTGCTCCCCTCTGTTGGAAGTATTTGATATTTTAGTGACTCCTCCCACACCTGTGACTCCTTCCACAAAATATGACAAAATTGCATGAGTCATTATATATTTTTACATACCGGTAATTCGATTCCAACAATACGGTATATAGAGATGTATTATTTTTACAACTCACAACAAACTCTTACCTTAATTAAGTTAGTGGCCTCTAACACAATCTTGAGGCATGTTGCGTTCGCGTGTGTTCTTACCCACTGCTGTTGCCTTCCCTGCAACAAAACGTTGTATTAACACAAAATGTAACACATAACGTATAGTTTGTGTATACAGGGAGCAAGTGACCCCCCATCCCTTCCCTAGCCTTTAAAGTGACTTATGTAGGGCGAAGACAAAGCTGGGCTAGAGAATTAAAAAAAATAATAATAATAATAGATGGCATACAGTATTTTAACAGTATATTTAAAAAATACAATGCACAAAAAATACTGCTTATATCCTATCTAAATATACTACAATGGCGTTGGTTTTTGTTTCAGTGAAAATGTGAAATTGGCAAGAAAGAAAAAATAAATAATTGGGGCATCAAGCTAATAATTTTGCCCAGAGCTTCATGTGACCTAAGTTTGGCCCTGAGTATTGGTTCAATGGCTGACAAGCGACCGGTACTATAGTTATAAAATGTATCTTAAAGAAGAGACAATTCTTAAAGTTTTGACTGCAGCTTGGATGGCAAGAA